ATTCTATAGTCAAGAAGAATCCATCAATACATTTTATGGTTTCTTAATTTTACCAGTAATGTATTAATTCATATTTCTCATCTTCCAGTAAGAATGTAATACTCTAAAATATCAATATTAGCTATTATCACACAATTAAATACTAATATATAAAATCAGAAATAATTATTTCTTTCTTTGTCAAATTTCCTAGACTATGCTCCATAAGCAACAAATGGAAGTGTTATTGTGACCACAGAACAAACTGGAAACTTTTGAATTTGACTTTCCTTTAAAAGTACTTATGAAGAAAATCATTTTCTCACTGGACAGATAATTTATAAAATATCCTGTACTGAATCAATAACCTAATTAACATCTACTACCCACTGATAAACTTATAAAAAGGGAAACAAGTTAACAAAAAGCTATGGCAATATTTTCTAAAAAGTATTTTTCTCCTACAATTCTAATGGAAAACATTTTCTTACTTTCAAATAAAAAACTTTCATTAATAATAAAGCTGTGATATGAAAACAAACAGTAATAACATGAAATGTTTATTACATTGTATACAACATTGCAGGATTGTCTCTCTGAGATGCTATCAGAAAAACTCATTTAAACTACCACAAAATGCAGGGTAATTGTAATGACTAATTACTGATACTCAGATTTAACTTCAATGTGCACAGCCCACAGGCAATGCACATGCAGCTTCTTGAGCTGGCTAGAAAAGTCCCCCCAGAGGTTAAAAGGTAAGAATTTTTTTATAACTAAAATTAAGAGTCAAAGCAACCCTGCAGAGGATACAATAAATGGTTCTATCAAGAAATGTTCTACTTTAAGTACTTAGGAGGACCCAAGGAGGTCCAAGGAATTACACTAATTGAATTTTGGGTACTTTTTCCACATGTCCTTTGCAGTAAACTGACTAATGTGCTTGGTATATTGGACCTCTCAGATGCTTCTCAAATCCCCCAGTTTAGTCTGTCACTAAATAAACAGAAATAGTACTTTGAGATACATTCTCTAAAAGGAACAGCAAGAAAATTAATAAGCTAATGTTAGTAATAGGACTGGCAAGCATTATATAAAAGGTACTATATACATACAAAGTATTATCATTTCCTCTTACACTCGTTTGGTAAAGGTCCTTTTAAGTTTTTGAATACCCTAAGACTAAGACCCCATTCTATGATATTTTTCTTAGAAAGAAAATGGTAGGGCAATTCACATGCTCTGAGCTTAAAAAGCTAAGTTGATCATATCCTTCCTACTTGTTTATGTAGTTCAATAGAGACTGATTACTTACTTAAAGACCACACAAGTTCTCAGAGAAAGAAATCACAATCCTTTTAGCACAGAGAAATGGAACTGAAACTCATTTCCTCTTTTGTATAGCCAGCATTTTTAAATGGAGAAGAGCTTCAAAGAAATCTTCAACCTTTAGCTGAAGGCTTTCAAAGTGAGGCATATTTAGAAGTGGAGGTACGTGCCTTTAAGCACTTTATGACTGTTAGTTAAGTCAGAAGCCATGAATTCCATACTTTGCTTTGAGATCTTTGAATAAAATATAACTGCTAAGGTTTCTCCTTTTTTCTAAGCAGCATTTCACACTATTTATTGGTATCTCTGGGAAAGAAAAGAGTCATCTTTAAGCAACATTGTTTTTAAAGACAGCTTCTTTAGTAAGCTAAGTTTAATCATTAGTAAGATTTTCATTTAAACACAGCGACACACTCACATAATGAATCAAATTACATCTTCTGTATTTCTAAGATGGGATTTTTCAATGAAATAAATTGTTTTCATTTCAGAAATCACAATCACCTCTTTCAACGGGGGTGGTTTCGTTTCCTAGATTGTGAATGTCATTCACTATACAGGAACAGTCATTAAAATGAAGAGGGAAAGAAATCATCAAGAAATATTAATAATGCACTTCTAAAATTCCCTAACTATTGATGTTATCATGAAATATTCTAAAAAGAAGGTCTAAATGTATACATATTTTAAGATATATTACTTATATTCTAAATCCAGAAATGTAAGCCAAACATATCCATTAGCTAGGAGGTAAATAAAAATTTAATATGATAGAAAAAATTATAAAAACTTTTAGTTAAAATATAAAAATATAAAATAAGCTATTGCATGGTTTTAAAGATTCTTTAGAAATCATAAATTCCACCTTCTAGAAGGCAATTAAGGACAGAAGTATCTTCATTTTTAACAGACAAAACGAAGATTTCATTTTGCGATCACCTATATAGTTAATATCTGCTTTTTGGAAAATATACACTAGAGATTTAAATCTCTTAGTAAAGAAAGAGTACAAAGGTAAATGTTTTGTAAAAAGAAGATGGAGGAAGAATAGATTTTTTACAAGGGAGTTCAGAGACATCTAGTGGTTGTTAATAATATACTGGATTTCTTCTTGGAAAATAAAATAAGGTTATATAGTTCCATAGTCGTGTTCATATTACAAATAGTATAAGATTTTTCTTGCACTTTAAATCTCCTTCATCCTACTGCTTTAATGATTCCAGAAACTGGAAATAGCTTTAAGCTCCCAACCTTTAAAAAAATTAGCAAAATATCACTGAAATAAAACTCAAAATCCAAAAAATGCTCTATCACAGAAAAGGCCATGTATGTTCCAATACGTGATTAACCAACAAATGTAGGTAGACATTTGCCTTTTACAAGCTGTTGGTGCTGCTCTAAATTTTATCATCACACACATAAAACCCCAAATGGCTAAAAACTTTAATGCATGGCTTTTGAAAGGAGTTCTCTGCTAAACACAGTCATAGGATGCACTGTGGTAGAAGAGACCTAAAAAGCCAGCTAACTCATGCCCAAAGTCTTCAATCAAAATAGAATCTCATTTTCAAAGGCTAATAGAAAAGATATTCTACATTGTTCTTCAATAATCCATTTCAATGATCCAAAAAACTCTGTCAAACAACTTTTCTCTATGTCTAACCTCAGTCCTTCATGCTACAGATTGTTATCTTTTTTATTCTTTTCTAAATACTTCCTACTGTATCTTGCTAACATATACACTTCTTCATATCCCTTTGTACAAATATAGCACTTTACATTTATCCCTATTAAATGTCATGTTGCTAGATTTAACCAATCCATCATTCCAATTGCTCTAATTTCTTTTGGATCATGGCTTGGTCTAAAGTATTTGCTAGCTCTCCTAGCAATATGACACCCATAAATTTGAGGGCACATTCCAATGACATAATCCATGTACACTCTAAATTTGCACTCTAACATTTTATGAAATATCTGATCTTCTAAAGCCTCTGCCAAATTAATGTCTTCAGGATAACAACTCAGATTTTTCTTTTTATTCAACTTGAACTGAAATATAAAATAAGTCAAACAAAATATTAAGCATTATTTCACACCCCAATGAACTTTTAGACAAATCTTTATGATAAATAGCAACTAAGAAAAATGTGTCCTATTTTATGACTAGTCACAAAAACCATTGTTTGGATTGTTAGTTTCTAGTTGCTTTTAATTTTTAGGCTGTATAAATCAATTTTTGTTTTAATTACCATGGCTAACAGAAGACTGATGATGCCAACATTAAAAATGAGTTGCATGTATTTCAATATCATTATGAACACCACTGTTAAGTAGCACTAGAATTTAACAGGAACAATTCATGTTAGAAAGTAATGGAGAAAGCTGCATAAAGTAAAATAAAATGTCTCTTCTACTTAATTATTCTGTTTCATAATACTCTTATTTAAAAACTAGGGTGACAATTCCTTTTCATTAAAAATAAATCTTTAAGGCTGGGCGCGGTGGCTCATGCCTGTAATTCTAGCTCTCTGGGAGGCCGAGGCGGGCGGATTGCTCAAGGTCAGGAGTTCGAAACCAGCCTGAGCAAGAGAGAGACCCCGTCTCTACTATAAATAGAAAGAAATTAATTGGCCAACTAATATATATAGGAAAAAATTAGCCGGGCATGGTGGCGCATGCCTGTAGTCCCAGCTACTCAGGAGGCTGAGGCAGGAGGATCGCTTGAGCCCAGGAGTTTGAGGTTGCTGTGAGCTAGGCTGACACCATGGCACTCACTCTAGCCTGGGCAACAAAGTGAGACTCTGTCTCAATAAATAAATAAATACATATTTAAGTCATTCACACAGTCTCAAGTATCACCTGTTTAATTTAAAAGGGGAAAATATACCTCTAGAATGGAGAGCTCTGAAGATTACCATGTTGATCAAGTGACCAAACTTAGCATCACCAACAGTATGACAACCTGATATAATGTGCCTCCTGACATGATGCAATAATAAATACACGTCTCTTCCATAAGACCCTTGCCAAAAATGTGGAACCTAAACCTAACGATGAGCAAACAATGAGGGGTAAATCCACAGTGTGGGACATTCTCCCAGATGATTAGCCTGGACACCTTAAAAAAAAAAAACATGATCATGAAAAACAAAAAGTTGTGGATTAAAAGAGACTAAAGAGACTCAGCAACCAAATGCAATGTGTGAACCTTCCTGGATCATCCATTTTTAGAAAAAGCTATAAAAGACATTTTGGGGACAATTAGAAAAGTTTGTACATGGACTGTATAGTAAATGACATTATTGAGTCATTTAACATTTTCAGCTGGGATTGTGGTTATGTAGGAAAATGTCCTTATTCTTAGGAGATAACATGCTGAAGCATTTAGAGGTAAACAATCACATTGTCTGTAATTTATTTTCAAATGGTTCAGAAACAGATATTTATAAATGTGTATAAAATAGATTTATGTATTTCTGAATATAGACATGTTTCCCTATTTCTGAATACAAAATATAGATTCTACATGTATATATAGATTCTGTGTATGTATGTATGAGTATACATGTATGAGAGAGAGAAAGCCAATGTGACAAAATGTTAACAACTAGAGAATCTAGGTGAAGAATACATGGTGTGTGAAATTTTTCGAAATAAAAAGTTGGAGCAAATAAGAAAGGAATACATACCATGGCAGTTCTAGACTTGATAAACCAGTCAAATCTAAACTGAGGAGCATTCCGTACACACTGTCTTAATTCTTCATACACATTTTCTCTATCAAAGCCCATTTTGTGTAACATACAAATCAAGAATCTATCTTCTTCCTCAGTATAGTTCTTTCCTTTGCTGGTTCCATACTGAATACGCAACTGATGAAATGGTGCCTTGTATCTTGCAATCTGTGTATTTCAACAAAATAGTGCTTTTAATTGAATGTGCAATAAGAAGTCAAAGCTGACCACCACATCAATGAAAACATAAAATATAGTACTTTGGCATCCAGTGCTTTCTTGATGCTGATCCTTCGTTGAATTCTTGCTTCTCCACGTTCAATTTGAGCCATAATTTTTTCAATGTCCTGTAATTCATTGCAACGTTCCCAAAATACAGCTGAAAAACAGTTATTACTTAAAATACTATCAATTAAGCAAACAAATCCAAGGAATTATAGAATAAAGAATAGGAGGCCGGGCGCGGTGGCTCACGCCTGTAATCCTAGCACTCTGGGAGGCTGAGGCGGGTGGATTGCTCGAGGTCAGGAGTTCAAAACCAGCCTGAGCAAGACCCCGTCTCTACCAAAATATAGAAAGAAATTAATTGACTAACTAAAAATATATATACAAAAAAAAAAATTAGCTGGGCATGGTGGCGCATGCCTGTAGTCCCAGCTACTAGGGAGGCTGAGGCAGTAGGATCGCTGAGCCCAGGAGATTGAGGTTGCTGTGAGCCAGGCTGATGCCACGCCACTCACTCTAGCCTGGGCAAGAAAGTGAGACTCTGTCTCAAAAAAAAAAAAAAAAAAAAAAAAAAAAGAATAGGAAATAGTACAGTCAACGTATATTTTTTAAATTAAGATTGAGAGTCATCTGTATATAGATGTTCAATTATTCACTACTACTAACTTTTCACTTAAAAATAAGAACAACAACGTTTCAAGAAATTTTCTTTTCATGAAATATTATGAAATCTTTAATTATCTATCCAAAATGACTAGGATTTCAAAAGATACTACAGATACTGATTTAAGCTGGGCTTTTTACTCCAACATGACATAGAAGGGACCAAACACATAAAGTGAAACAGGAGAGAGCAGCATATAAACAGTGAACATAGCTTCCTAGCACAAAAACAAAACTATTATCAATAGGTCATTCAAATGTTTTCCATGAAGTGGTAATTTCTACTGAAACTGTTATTTGCTTTTGGAATCACTCACTAATCGTACAAAATTTCCAAGGATTTGTAGTTTGTTTTCAAGCTTATTTAGAATAGCCTTTTCTCTTAAAATAAATCTTCACTGGGAATTTAATTGGATGCATACAGAAGAATATTCAAACTACTGAGTCACTCAACCAAATTTTATAGATGAGCCAAATAATCTGGCTGCATTAATATGTCACATCTTATGACTTCAGTGAAAATATCTTTTAATGACATACTCTACATTCTTAGATTTTTCATTTTTAGAGCCTATCAAGAAAGGTATGATGGCACTCTGATTTTTATAAACACCTGTGTTCATTTATTCAGTCACTTATTCGTTCAAAACATTTAAAGGCCTATTATGTACAAGATACTATATATCATGAACATCCAATTGTACACATTCCTTCTCTTACTGCAACCAACTACATAAACCCATTCCAAACTCCCCACTCTATGACATGGCCCCCAACCTCGTGGGCAGCAACTGAACAGTCATGCTACCTGGCCTGGTATCAAATTTGAGAGAACATCTGACATGATATCTTTTTGAATCACATTTTCCTGCAATTTCACATACACTGATGCTATCTCCCTTTCTATCTTCTGAGGAAAATTCTCCTTCAGAAAAAATCTCACAGCACATACCCTTTTACACTCCTTTTGTTCAACTGTTGGAGCTAAAATGTCCCTCTTCCATCTATTTTCCCCTCTCTAAGCTCTCAAATGATCTAAACTTAGGTGTTAAATCTTAAGAGTAATAGTAATATCATGCTGGTATCAAGGAAAAGGAAGTTCATAAACTAGACATTATATAAAATAAAAACTAAATACAGCTGACTTCCAAAGTCCCCAGAAGACACTTTCAGATTTCCAGAAGAAAAAATAAGTGTCTATTATATAATTAAATCTGGAATTGTTCAGACACTAGCACTCTAGATACAATTAAAAACTGCTTCTAGTCAGTATTAATTTGTGTATATTTATTGGTACTGTAGTATCTCCTTCCTACTATTGCAAAAAAAAAAAAAAAAAAAAAAAAAATTTCAATGGTTAACTTAAATAGGTTTTGGGAGCTGGCATAGAAACCCAAACCTACTTTGTAACATTTTTTTCAACCAGGAAAATGCTCTGGATTCGGAACATCTTAAGGATACAGACTAAATTTGAGAGCTCAACCTATTTGGAAGTTAAAAAATATCTATGTTCTACATATAGAAAACTTGCTAGACATATTTAGCTATTTTTAATAAGATTTCTTTTCAGAGCCGTAGGTTGGATGTGCTGTGACAGGAGAATTAGTATTAATACCATATGCTTCAGCAGCTAAACTGATTCTGGTTAAGACCAAAAACACACCTGAGTAAGAGAGGGAGATGATTCAAGGCCCAACCAACAGACTGATTCAAGCAATCTTTTTAGATCTATACCAGCTTGCCTCAAATTAATGGGACCCACATGAACCTTTCTGGAGTAGACTGTAACCCTCAGGGTGTTTGAGAATCTAAATGGGCTCCGCAGAAACTCACTACTTCAAGGACAAGCTAGAAAGATAGACACTAATTCAATCCAGTGAACCTGAATCTCAGGACTGGACTAGAAGAGGATCTAATTCCAGAGGTGGGAAAGTATGAAACCCTTGTTCTATCACTTGGCTCTATTGGCCAACTAATAGAGACAAAAGCAGTTCGTTATGATAAATCTTATATTTCATAGAAATATATTTTATACTTTCACCTACCTTTTATTCATAAAAGTTTAAAAGATCTCCAACAAAGGTATAATTAACACACTAACTGCCACACTACGAAAAAAATTTCCTTGGGGCCACAGTGTTTTATTACTAAAGTAGAATAAAAACTTCAAAAACAAAATGATCCTTTCTAATTTAATGAAAATTTTGTTATTTTTTATTGTTTTCTGTGTGCGTGTTATATGCAACTTGAAAAACAGTTCTCATGGCTCCCAAGGTGAAGAGACATGTGAATTACATATGCTTCATGAGGCCCTGGGCTCAAAATTAGTGTGAGTTAAATACAACTCACATGGCAGTTAATGTATTAAATTGACACTAAAAAATGAATGAAGTTAAAATAAAACATAATATTTCAAATTACATACAAACCTGAATACTCCATGACCTCCTCAGGGGATTTGCCCTCCACCTCTCGAGCTATATTATCAATGTCATCTCTTCCATACTTCTCATTAGCTTTAATAAATTGGTTAAAATCTCGCTTCGTCCAGTTTGTGAAACCCTGTGAACAAAAAGTTAAGCATCATCAATCAAAGTTGACTTAGTAAATCCATTTATTGTCCTATATACTTCTATACGATACCTTAAAAAGACTTTAAAAGACTTAAAATGTTCCTCCTCAAAAAAATCACATATTTTTTATGTTGGGATCAAAACTTGAGTGAGTTGTTACAGAAACAACTGCTTCTCTATTACAAAAAGAATATAATCTTCTCCAAGTACTTAAATTTGAGTTATAGTTCTAAGATATTGTGAAGTTTTTAATTCCATATTTATAGATTCCTACATTAAAATACAAACACATTAAAATACAACTGCTTATATTAATGCTGAAGTCCTGATATTTCAGTGCTTCAATAATTTTTTCACAGATCTGTTCACGTGTAAATTAAGAGAGGAATGTAGATATATTTAATCAAATGAATACTGAGGAATAATCAAAAAAGAATGCAAAAAACTGTTCTGTAGCTCTTTATATCATTCCAAACTACTGTGAATAATTTCTGTTCTACATTGTATTCATAAATAGAATTTCTATAAATGGAACATTGGGCCCAATTTCTTTACTAAAATATAGAGCCGTTTAGCCAATGTTTTAAATTTCTATGGCATTATTAGCATGTCTGTGAAGTCATGAGACCAATAATTTGTTTTCCACCCCTCGTGCCCGAACCCATAAAAATGTGATAATCTAGACATTGCAAAACTCTATCCCTAGCTTTTAGGTGATCAAGGTTTCAGATGACCCTATATTTTGTTCCTTTGTATTGCCATGATTTTTTGAAAAGATTAATTAAGGCAGCAGAGAAAGACAATTAAAAAGGAATTCAACTGCTAGGAGGGGCAAAAGAATTAATTATACTTCTCATTACAAACTAAAGCATTATTTCAGTTGAGACTATATATTCACATTATATTGTGTATGCACAATATACTATAAGCCATGTAGCATTCTAAGGCCATAACTTTATTTTTGTGCTCACGAAATAAATCTTGAAAATAAAACATGAATATTTAAATGTTTTATTTTATTCTGTGGTAAGTCCTAGTGTTCAGCCAACCGCAATTATATTTGCAAACTAAACTTTGACTTCCAGGCATTTGGCTCAAAAACTTATGAATGTAATTTGCAAAAATTCATTCAACAAAATTACATGTTACAACAAGGAAAAAACTATATAATAAATAACATAAATATAAAAACTATCTTTCAATAATTAATGTAGAAAATTTCTACTGCGCCTTGGATATTGTTCAAAAAATTGTTGAATAAATAAATCTTGCTGGCAACCTTCAACATTAAGGTGGTGTAATACAGTACATCTTTTTATTACTTTGCAGGAGTCTTTCACAGTGAAACTTTTTTATATCTTCTACAGTTTATTTTGGAAGTATAATACTCATAAAACTCATTAAAACAATAATGACTTGAAAGCATTAACATTTTGTTCAAATGGAAACCTTTCCAACTTAATAACTATTAGCTTTTAATTATACAATGATCACCTTTCACAGTTTCAGAAATCTCTCATCGTATGAAAGTTCTTTCTAAGAAAGGATAAAAAGAATTGTGAAAATTATGAAATTATTCCATAAATAAAAGATTAGTAGAGTATAACTTCAGGAGACAATTCACATCAATAAACAAAAGAAATTTAAATTTTTGAGAGTATGTTAAGAAGTATCGTCTCTCAGGATTCAAGTGTGAATTCATCAATTTATTATAATTGGTAAAATGCATGTGATATTTCTGATACTTGACATTTTTACTTTATATATATGTATTTTCCAGTATTTCCAAAAGAGTATATTCTATAAAAGGGATTTTTAAAAATAGGGATATTTGGTCTAAATGCATGTTTACAAAATAGCCCTGAGTGTTGTTGATCTGTCAAATCAGGATACTAGGCCCATACAATAAAAAGTAAGTGTGGTCTATATTTTCTTTTTTCTACTGGTTGACTAGAAGTATTTCAGCCACTGAAAATATTTTACTTGTGTGAGAAGTTTTTCCTTTTCTTCAGTCTCTTCTGCTGTAAGAGGTTCAGCTCCATCAATCTTTTTTTGCTCTTCCCTTTGAGCCAGAGCTGGATTGGGGATATCCGGATTCCTTGGGACCTATGAATCAAAAGAAGACCTAAGAGTAAACTGATGAGAAAAATTAATTATTGAAGGTGTATATACACATATCTTTAGACTTATTTCATCAGTAAATATAAAATCATGACCAGAATGACACATGGTCCCCTCCACATTTCTACCATGATACTACCAAGATAAAAATCATTCTTGTGCCACATGGTATTTCACAGTTAAAACTCATTGGTAAATGAATGCCACATTATATTACAGATCTGATTCTACTGTGGAACAAAGTATATCCTTCTAATATTATAATACATGGAAGAAAAAGTTTGGCAGGAAAGAATAAAAAAAGGAGAGAGCCTGTATTCCCCCAGCAATACCAGAGAAGGGTAGAGAGGTGGCAATGTACCTAAAGATTCTATTCAACACTGATCAGTTCAATGTGCAAAAGAAAGGAGTGTTTTCACTGCCTGCCAGGGTATGTAAGGGGAGAGCGTTTTTACATAAAATGGGAAGTCTGGGCGAAGTGACAGGATAATGAAGAAAAAACGAGGAAACAGAGAATGTAAGAGGGAAGGAAGTAGTAGAGTACACATACTGGTGGGATGGAACCAGCAGTCAAATGAAAAAAAAGACTACAGCAGCAGTGATCAACAGAAATTATAAATGATATTTTGGGTAGAGTGCTGCAAATATACTGACAACTGAGAAGAGAATTCAAGTTCAAAAGACTGAAGATAGAAGCTCAGCTCTCCAAGGAAGAAAGCCTTTATCTCAAAACTGTACCCCAAAAAGCATCAGTGTGTCACAGTAAGAATATACAACCAGTGTGCTTCAGCATATGGGGCAGCATTCATTGTATGGAAGGACAATCTAAGATTCTCAGCCTGAAGTCTCATACTACCACTACATGCATCTACCACTATCACTATGTACATCTGCTGTCACAATGCAGCACACTGATATAACAGGGCAGGTACATAACACGTGGAGCACATTTTACAGCATTCCATTACAAAGGAAAATAAAAGAGTTGGCAATGTGCCTTCCACTGTTTGTAATGTACACATACCATAAATGACTCTCATTCCCTAGGGGTATGAGATAGTTGTGGTTTTACTACAATGTAATTATAAAACATAGAACACATTCTTCTCATTGTTAGACATATTTCATAGAGTTTTGAACTACATCATTATAATAAATATTTTTTAAACTATTGCATCCAATAGTTTCTCAAATATAAAGCCTAAATGGGCATTAAAAATACATTCTGAAAAACCAGGTTCATTTGTAATCATCAGTACCAGGCAACCAAATGAGTATGTGCTGACTAAATGTCTATTATATTCCTAGCACTATGATAAGTACTGATTGGAATATAAAAGAAGTATAGTATTAGACATGGTCCTGGCCCACAAGGAGCTCAAAAACTGAGCTGGACTTTAAGAACTCCAAAGATTTGGGGAGACAGATATGGTAAAGAATATTCTAGGCTTGGAGTAGTATGAGCAAAAGCATGAAGACAGAAACCATGCAGGAAGGCACTTATGTGTGTGTATATGTGTGTTCATTGCACATATAGGGTTTATGCTGAGAAGGGATAAGAAACAAGGCCAGGTAGATGGCCTTGAAACTACACAGTAAGTCTTGTGCTGGATGAATTGAAGTGGGGAAGCAAGAGAACCTGCTAAACTGTTATAATTTAAAAATGAGGTATGATCACCTGGCCTAGGATGGTGGCAAACGGAAATGGAAAAAAAAAGCATAAATTAAAAATGAAATGTAGTCCCAGAGATAAGCATGATTAAAAATAATGTTTTTTAATAGCTAGGTTCAATTTGAAAATTACAGGCATACCAACAATTTCATTCATAAGTATTTACTCAAAGAAATGAAAGCATATTTCTACAAAGCTTTTTACAGGAATGTTCACAGTAGCTTTACTCATAATAGCCAAAAACCAGAGGACAGCTCAGATGTCCATCAACAAGAGAATGAATAAGCAAACTGTAGTCCATCCATACAATGGAATAGTGCTCAGCAATAAAAAGGAGTAAACCACTGATACATATGATAATATGGCTGAATCTCTAAAAGATTATGCTAAGGGAAAGAAGCCTTGAACATACTGTATGATTCCATTTATGTGAAATTCTAGAACACAAAAAATAATCTAATCTAGGAAGAAAATAATATTAGAACAGCAGCTGCCTCTGAGGAATACGTATGGTGACTGACTGGGAAGGGACACTTTCTGGGGTGACAGTAATGCTCTATGTCTTTATGGGGAGTTGGGTTATGTAAGTGTATGCACCTGTCAAAATATACCAGATGATACATTTCACTATATGTAAGATTTACCTTTAAAAAGAATCAAATAAATATTGGACTCTGGATAATGATAAGCATGTTGAAGTGTTTCTGGGTAAAATATACTTACGTCTGCAACGTTGAAATGCAAAAAAAAGATAAGATACCCATATAATAGAGGGCTGGAGAAATTGGAAAATAGGTGAAAAAGCAAATACAGTAAGATGTAAATTACAGAATTTAATATGTGGTATGTATATGTGTGTTCATTGTACAATTATTTCAACATTTCTGTATGTAAAATTCTTCATGTTTTTAAAAATTATCAACACAGTTTTAAAAGTTTAACAGACCCTTTCAAATTCCAGGTATATGAAATTACTTTGGCTTCAAATTTTAATTGAGAAACACCTCTTTGATCTCAAGATATATATCTATCAAACACCTTCAAAATTTCCCTGTCCAACAATGTTAACAAAATATTTTATAAACATCTAATTTATGACAGAAAATAGATAACATACGCACACAAAATGTTTATTCCCGTGCAGATATCCCCAATACTAAAAACTTCCCCTTTGAATTTCTAATAAGAGCAAAATCAGAATATTTTATAATACCATTAGATTTTAGGATCCACTGCAGAAAATTTCTACCACATCCACTGGTCACGTTATTTAATAAAGCAAAACTTAAGAATGACTTCATCAGTGCTATGTTTATTATTTTAATTCTAGAAATTACTGAAACACATAGCTGCTAAAATATTTAGAATTAGAAATGACTCAATTTCTAAATTCCTTTATTTCTTCATACAAAAAACTCAACATTCACCATTTTTAAAAGACTTTCATTTTTTACCTCATGAGGTTCTTATCAGCATTAAGCTTCCTCGAATGATTTCAAAGTGCTATGTAAGAATTAAGTAGACAAATTATAGACCAATAATACTGAACAGATACCTTGAAGTATCTAAAGTACTTATATCCTGTGTTGTATTATGGTCCCCAGTGACATAAGATATAAAAAGTTATCTTTCAAAAGGAAACATCTCAATTGTTATTTTAATTTCAAGTTAGACCCTAAGGAATTTTTGATTAGAGCTCTGCTTCCATGAAGTAGTGAAAACTTTTTTGGGGGCCTGTTTCTTAGAAGCAGTTTAGCAAGCATTTCATAGAAATATGGAATACTGAATTAAATGTGACAGCACAGAAAATGAAAGCAGTAACCTAAAATCAGCTTACCGTATTTTAGTTCTACCACTGCAAAATAGGTAGCTCACAATGACACATTACCAAAATTCACAAAGATTATGGAACTTCCTCCATTTGTCAAATGTTTATATTTGTCCCTAAAGAATTTTTTATAGGGGATAAATGTCAGAATGTTCTACAGCTTTCTTCAGCTTCAAATATGGCAAAAGTCTTTCATTCCAGGTCTTACATTCAATGGAACTTTCAGATACTCTGGATTTTTTATGCAGCGATTAAAATTTCAACTAAGTTATCCTCTTCTAATGTAAAGATTTTAACATACAAGTGACTAAATGCATATGTAAATAACAACTCCTTTAAGTGAAAAGAGCAATGAAGTGTCTGAATATGCCTAACTTGCAACAAGGTCAAAGCTTAGACAGCAGGAAGAATGGGCACATAACGCACCGCTGTCTACCAAGCAGTTAGGGCAAAACAAACACTTCTCTCAACATCAAATAAAACAAAACCCATTAACTCCAGATCTCATTATCAGCAATACTGTTGTGACTTTGTGCTGAACATGGGGGGAGGGAGAAAATAAAACAGAAAATAAAAATGCAAATAAGCAGGTACTCAAGGAAACCACTCTTTACCAACTGCTTCAAAACTAGTGATCCCCTCACTAGCGCCACCCCAACTCACTACAGAATAAGACTTTGGGGACTCAAAATAGATTAATACATTACTATGAATCACAGTACCCCCGACTATGACAAAACCTATCTCGCCCTGGCTACCAATCATTTAAGTAGAATAATTTAACCTTTTTGAGGTTCTCCCTTTTTGAGAACCCGACTGTACATACAGAATACTATTTAACACCACTACAGCAGTTTTGCTTTGTTTATCCAAGGTAAACTAGTTCTCCATCAGTTTGTGGCCCTGATAAGTTTTCTGAAGGTGTAGGAAAGAAAAAAAATCAATGCTAGATATCCCTTGAGAAGATATGTTTAACAGTTACATATCACATCACCCTTGAAAGGAAGGTTTTTTCAGATGATTGACATGCCATGCTGGTCTATCTATACTCTGAACTCAAACACAAAACTCACCCAGTTAGAGAACCCACCTTAGCTCAGGTCCATAGTTCCTGGTAAAGAATGGAAGAGACAAGGTTCAGAAAGAACCAATATCCAGAATGTATTCTTATTTGTCTTGTAAATCCTCAGCTAAGTTTGCATAGGGAGGACCAAGGCCATTCTTAGGACAATAAAGAGGCAATCCAGGATGGGGCCGAAGAGAGCACAAGGCTACAAGTAGGGAATCGGTTCTCCTTCCACCACCATCACCGCAGTCCAAGTTGCCAACATCTTCTTTCGTTTTGATACTTCAACAGCCTCCTGGCTGGTTCCCCTAGATAAACTCTCCATTCTCTGCATCGCAGCCAGAGTGATCTTTTAAAAATGTAAATCTGATCATACCTTACCACTTACCAAGTTGTATGACCAAGAGCAAATTACTCAGGGAAAATTACTCAACCTCTCTATGCCTTAGTTTCCTCATCTGTAAAATAAGGAAGTAGGTTCCAGGGCTGTTATGAGGATAATGACCTAATATTTATAAAGAATTTGGAACAGTAAGTAACACAAGTAAGGACTAAATAAGTATCTGCTATTATTATGATTTTACCATCCACCCACTTACCTGCCTTAAAAACATCTCAATGGTTTTCCTTTGCTCTAAAGCTGAAGTTCAACCTCATTAATATGAACTATAAAAGCTCCACGTGATCTGACTCTACCACTCACTGGTCTCATCTCAAGTTGCTCTTCTCCTCATCACTCCCTAGCAACACAGGCCTTCTTGCAGCTCCTAAAAGGGGCCATCCTTCTGCCTACCTCAAGATCTTGGCATACGAGATGGCCCCCTGCCTCAGCTTTTCTCTCCCACGCTTCTCGTGGCTAATTCGCATCTCTTGGATCTCAGCTTAAGTGACGCTTCCTTAATGAACACTTCCCTGATCTCCCAGTCCCCCTGAGATACCCATGTTACCCTTATGGCATCCTTCGTAAGCACAGAAATACACAAATAACGATGATATTACACTGTGGTATCTGTTTAATGTCTGTCTCCTCCATTAGAATGTAAGTGCCGTGAAGTGAAGAACCTTTATCTGTCTTATTCACTACTTTATCCCACGTGCTTTGGCCAGCATCTGGCACAGAGAAGTATTCAATAAGTAGGTATTAAATGAAAAAAGAAGTCTTCCTTTCATTCATTCTCCCTCTCCTGTCACTTCTTTCTGGGATATAAGGAAGAGAAAACAGTAAGATATAATAGCATGAATTCCATGCTGTCTTCCCTCTCCCTGTCCTCTATTCTTAACACCTTTTCCTCCTCCCTCTTCCCTTCTATTGCCTTTTTTTTTTTTTTTTTTTTGAGACAGAGTCTCACTTTGTTGCCCAGGCTAGAGTGAGTGCCGTGGCATCAGCCTAGCTCACAGCAACCTCAAACTCCTGGGATCAAGCGATCCTACTGCCTCAGCCTCCCAAGTAGCCGGGACTACAGGCATGTGCCACCATGCCCGGCTAATTTTTTGTATATATATATATCTTAGTTAGCCAATTAATTTCTTTTTGTATTTATAGTAGAGACAGGGTCTCTCTCTTGCTCAGGCTGGTTTTGAACTCCTGACCTTGAGCAATCCGCCCGCCTCGGCCTCCCAGCGTGCTAGGATTACAGGCGTGAGCCACCACGCCCGGCCCCTTCTATTGCCTTTTGCAGCTGTCCTTTCATTCCTCTGTCTTCTGAGGTTTCCTCTCCCCTCTGTCTCCTTCCAGCTGGCCACCACACAAAGGGTCACTGTAAGACCTCACCCTTAACCACAAACTGCCTGTAATAAAAGGCACTGTTTATATTCAAACCAGAGCTGTGGCCAGAATGTGGTGGGCACTATAATTATCACAGGGAACAAAATTTCAGTATCTCCAAAGAAGGAGCATAAACAGTTATATCATCAGAGATGATTGTTTTTTATTGCTGCTACTTGACTACCACTTGGCCCACCTCCCAAACAACATGCCACATCACTATAAACACAGTCCCTATTTAGGACTGCAGAAAGAAGCAGGGTTCTATCACATATAAGAAAAAGCCAGGAATGTCTGAGTGAAAAGAGCAGAGCATCTGAATATTGAGAACCTGGTGTGAGACCAGCACCCTTGGCAACCCTGTTAGCTATGTGACCTGGAACAACATCATTTAAAATCTCTGAACTTCAGTTTCCTCACCTACTATACGGATATGATCATAACACCTACTTCATAAGGTTGTTAGGAATCAAATGATGTATTAAAGAACTTTGTAAATTATAAAATGCTCCTCATAAACATTTGATTTATTACTGAGGTCTAATATTTCAATTAATTCTCCTTTCAAGTCTCACTTATAACAGTCAATAAAAGTAACAGAAAATAATGTCTGAGCCTAAAATTATTATAAACCTTAACCCTCTTAGTGCGGCGGGCCGAAATACTGGCTTTTGCGTCTAGGGTGAAAAGTGCGGTGGGACGATATATCTTAACTATGTAGGAGCCGATATATCGGCCCGCCGCACTAGATGCAAAAGCCGATATTTCGGCCTGCCACACTAAGAGGATTAATGAGATATGTTTTTGTTTACCTCATGAAATCTTAACTTTATTATTAATTTTACCACTTTTATTTTGCATTTTGAACCTATATGTGCCTATTTCTTCTGGCATATCACTGTTTTCACTTTCTTTGAAACTAGTTTTATGCCTGATCTGAATTTTCAACCATATTTATGTTACTCTTCCATAATTTCCTAAAAAGGATTTTATCTAGCCCTGTTGGTTTAAACACATTTAAATTTAATCATATTTCCCTAACTAGATTATAACTAACCACTTATATTCCCCATAAGTTTTTGTTATTTAAATATTTGTAACTTTGATACATAAATTGCAAGAAAGGCTTTCTTTGTTGTTCTGATTCAAATAGCAATACTCCTACTCTGAACAAATAGTAGAAAGACTTTAGAGATCCACTCTAGTTCCAAAATATAAAGGAATGAACTAAATATCTTACATACATTAAGTTTTGCTAGGCACATTCCAGCTACTAATCAAAATTATTAGTCGAAGTTACAGTTGTGATAAAAGTTCACAAAATAAATTTTGAAATATAGCTTTAGATTCATAAAAACAGAAAACTTTATAAAAATTACAATGGGATTAATATTTTTATAATTTTTATGCTAGTGATTATTATACCTTTGGTCATCCCTCTCCATTCACTAGAAAGTCAATTTCAATATATAGAAATAAACTGGCATGCTTAATCTCTCAATAGGATAGATTTAGTATGACAGATATTAAGTTCCACTCACCAAAAATAGGTTCCTATCTACTTAAGATTTTTGAATCCCAAAAGATAATTTTAAAATTATGTAATTGTCATGTTTAATCATTATCTTTAAAACCTAAGTGACCACAATCTGCTAACTACCAACAAAGCTTTCAACAGTCTATGAGCAATAAATACAAAAATACTATTCTTTGGGTCCTATTAAAGAAACTGTTCAAAATTTTCTATATTAATATTCACTTCTAATCAAACACATACCCTATTGTTCTTGCTACATATTTTTAACCATTCAAACACTGCATTATTAAAAATAATATATTATCATTTTGAAATATTGGCTAATTCACCATTAATCTTATTTTAATCATGATCATATTGGGAATTCAGTAGTTTGATGCTTTACTTCCAGTTAAACCTCCTCTTAGCTTTTAAAAACACCACTGTTTGATTTACTTTTACATTCTCTCACATTAAAATGGAACACCTTCTAGCCTAGCTTAATAGATATTATCTTAATAGATTATATTACACTAATCTAAAAAATTGAAAAATTACCTTATAGCCTATTGTCTTCCGATAATAAAGAATTTCCTTTTCCAGGAGCTCAAATAAACGTGGTGGGAAAAATTGAAAATCTTGAACATTTGGCTGTTTTGGAGGCCGTGGAGCCTGTGAGGGGAAAATACATTACATATATATTTCTTTTTAGTACATGAAGTGAGCATGTATCTTTTACTATTTCTTTTATATAAAGAATATAAATACAATGGAATCCATATTTTTTTTTTGAGACAGTCTTGTCACATTTGCCCAGGCAAGAATGTCATGGTGTCAGCCTAGCCCACAGCAACCTCAAACTCCTGGGCTCAAGCAATCATCCTGCCTCAGCCTCCCTAATAGCTAGGACTACAGGCAGGGACCACCACATCCTGCTAATTTTTTCTATTTTTAGTTGCCCAGCTAATTTTTTTTTTCTACTTTTAGTAGAGACAGGGTCTCACACTTGCTTAGGCTGGTCTGGAACTCCTGACCTCAAGTGATTCTCCCACCTTGGCCTCCTAGAGTGCTAGGATTATAGACATGAACCACCATGCCCACTCAGAATCCACTTATATAGGTGGGCCATAGCAAGTACTTTTGTTATATTTTAAGGACTATAATTTGGCAATAATATAAGTAAATGTGAATCACAGACCACATTACAAGAGAAATCTGTAGGACATAAAAACTGGCCTTGTACAGTTTTACCTTTGGAATCTTTGGCTCACTGACACGCAAAGCCTCTCTAAAGTAGGCATCCACTGCATAGTTTGCTTTGCGTTCTCGTTTAGGAGGTTCAATCCATTCCACCATACCAAGCTATACACAACAAACAAGAACAGGGGTTTAATAACTTCAAACTGTTCTATCAAAATCAAGTACATCAAGGCTGCAGAAGCATGAGAAAACCAAAACCATTAGAAAAAATCCAGACTCACTTCAGAAATCATAATTATACCTCTAAGGTTCCAAACCTTTTAGTGTACACAAAGTTTAGATGCAAAGATAGTTTCCTTCTTTTTAAAATATGTTTAAAAATTAGTTCTTCCTTAGTAACTGAGAAGAACCTGCAAACTCTGCTTAGTATTTTTTGTCAAATTAAATACATAAATAGCATTTAATACAGAAGGAAGAGTAACATTGATTCTGGTAACCGTGGTAAGAGAGTGAATTAGAAAATAGATGAGAGGGATGAATGAGGAATATCAACATGACAGGCATTTATCCCCTTCAAATCAAGAGAAATAGTCAAATGAGATCTTCTGGAAAGGTAGCTGTGGTATAGTCGGAAAAACTGGTGGAAACATAAAGACCTAGATTTGAATTCAGGTTCTGCTACTTCACCAGTTGTATAACTTTGGGTAAATTATTTTTTCCATCTGTAAAGTAAGAATAATAATACCTACCTTGAGGATTAAATGTGATCATACATGTGAAAGCATTAAGTAAACCACGAAGAGTTAAATATGAGATATATCAAACATCCAAAGTAGTATGAACAATGATTTGGTAGCATTACTGAATTTTACCTCATTATCAGCTAGAAAATACAATTTAATGGCAGACAAAACTGACAATGCAAAGTTGTGGAGTCTGAGGAATGGTTTGCTAATTCATATTTTTTTGTTGACTTCACAGTGCCTCACCTAGTGCCTTTACAGAAAATAGGCCATTAATGAACGATTAATGATCTCACTCTATTTGATCTTATCTAAAGGCTAGATTCCAACCTTGGCATCATATTTTAAGAGTAGATGATAAACTAAGATGATCAGGATGGTTAGAAATCTACGAATTCTCACAGTGTCTAGAGAAGACTAAATACAGACATAATGATGGCATTAACATAAGTAAAAGTCTACCAAACAGAAAAGAACACAGTTCTTTGTTGATCCATAAGATTAAAATCACTGTGGAAAGTTATAAGAAAGTAGATTGCTACTCAATATAATTTAACAACTATGCATTAAGTACCCACTGTATTATGTATAAGTCAGTGTCAGGGATATAAAGATGAATAAAATAATCTCTTTCATCAAGAAGCTTATAAAATAAGTCAAACAGTTTTCTGAGAACCAGAGAATATAAAACAATGAAATGAACTATCATAAGAGTGGTAAGCTTCTCAATATTACAGTGTTCAGTGCCTAGATATCTGTCCTAGATGCTAAAGATGGGATTTCTTAATTGTTAATATAAGAAAATTTATAGTAAATGACCTTTGAGGTTACTTCTAACTCTAATAGTCTATGAGATATAGATATTATAATGTGATATTTAAGCAAAATGAAAAATAACCATAGTAATGAAATAAATTTTGCTTTTTTTGGGGGGACATGGATCAATGTGAGGTGATAGTTATGAAAGAGATATTTTATAATTAATCAATATTTTATCTTTCTCAGTTGGAGTGAAAATAAATTAACAGTAGTTTAAATTAACTTTCTAAAAGTAAAGTAATTGGCCATTTAACCTATACTTGTTTGATGATCAAGGTATTCAAATTTGAAATAAGCATTAAAGGGCAATTCCTAAACTTTCAAAAAAAGAATAAATCATACTGAATTAATTTGTTTTAGACAAGAGTATATTAATATTAACTTATTCAAGTTAATTTATTCAGGATTTGTGTCAGCCATCATCATGACTTAATTTACCAGGTATGGTTATAAAGTAATGCAACTGGTTCAACAAATCATAAAATAAATCTTCCTTAATTATAATTCTAATGATTTATAAATAATATTCTTTAAGATTTTCAATTCTCTTCAAAGGATCAAAGGATAATTTAAACCTATTTAAAAACCTATCTAGAAAATACAAATAGAAATAAAATACATTCTCAGCTTAGAATATTCAGTAAAAATTCTAATTTGGGACATTATTATTATTACTTTTTTGGCTTAAACAACAGAAATTTATTTTCTCACAGTTCTGGAGGCTGGTGGGACATTACTATTACTATTACTGTCAGACATTCATTTATAAAAATACAAGTCATCATAATTATTAAAATTTCTCTACACCTGTGCATCATTTTGTTAGAATTAGAAGCACAAAGAAAACCAATCATATTAGAAATCAACAAGTATTTTAACAAGTCTAATTTTCCTCCAAAAATGTAGATAAGAAGCTCCACTGATATTTAGACTTCATTTTCTAGTATTTTTTCACTTCATAAAACACTCTTAAGTACCCATAATCCTGTAGGAATAATTATAAAATTAATATAATTTATATCACATAATGAAATCTAAAAAGCACATTAGAAAGGTAATTTCCACCCTGCGTAAAGAGGCTATCACCTCCATCTCACCAGGATAAAACATAAGCAGTCTGAGTTAAGATTATAAATACAACAACCAGACAGATATAAGAAACTAAAAGCTATTAATATCAGAAACAATGGCAGCAGCAAAGCATCATCAGCATACTAGCTGCAATGCAAACCAAAATGGCTCACCTCATTTTTCAGTAAAACCAATACCTAAGCTTTTTTAATTTTAATAAAATTCTCTTGTCAGTTCAAAAATATAACTGTTTATGGAACAATTTGAACAACAAAATAAATAATGATAGAATGAATTATACTCAAGAAAAGAAACATCTATGAGTCCATACTGATATAAATGACTGAATACATAAATAAATGAGGGAGAAGGGGCATTCCTTTCTTACAGAAAAATCCCAATTAACACATATAGATGGAATGAGAAATACAATAAATTACCATTAAAATACCACAATAATAACTATTGTAGGCAAGCCCTACCAATAGATGCTAAAGTCAGTGGGTAAAAGTTTTAGGAACATCTCTCCCCCAAGAGAGTTATCAATTACAAAGTGAAAAATGGGAACTTTACTGTGCAGAGACCCAGCAAATACCACTTCAATTAACTGATCAAGGTTAAAACCACCAGTAATCAGATACATCAACATCTTATATTCCCTGATATGCACTGAGAAGGATACATCATTCCTTCTGTGGTATTCTTGTCAAAAAACACATAATCTCAATCAAATCATGAGAAAATGTCACACAAACTCAAAGTTAAAGACAAACTATAAAATAACTGATGAGTATTCTTCAAAAGTGTGAAGGTCAAGAAAGGAAAGATTTAAAAACTGTCACAGACTAGAAGAGGCTTAGGACACACCACAACAAAAATGCAATGTGGATCAAGATAATGACAAGACAAGCCACAGACTGGGAAAAAATATTTGCAAAAGATACATTTGATAAAGGACCATTATCCAAAATATACAGAGACTCTTAGAACTCAACAAAATAAGAAAAGAAACAATGTGATTGAAAAATGGGCAAAAGAACTGAATAGACATTTCACCAAAGAAGAGACACAGATGGTAAATAAGCATATGAAAAGATGTTCAACAACATGTGTCATTAAAGAATCACAAATTAAAACAACAATGAGAAGCCACTACACACCTATTAAAATAGTGAAAATCCAAAACATTGACAACACCAAATGCTGGAAAGAATGTGAAGAAAAAGGAACTCTCATTCATTGCTTGTGGGAATGCAAAATAGTACAGCTGCTTTGGAAGACAGTTGGGCAGTTTAATAAAAAACTAAATATATTCTTATCATAGGATCCAGCAATCACATTACTTGGTATTTACCCAAAGGAATTGAAAACTTATGTCTATGAAAAACCTGCACATGAATGTTCCGAGCAGCTTTATTCATAACTGCCAAAACTTGGAAGCAACCAAGATGCCCTTCTGTGAGTGAATGGATAAATAAATTGTGGTACATCCAGACAATGGAATATGACTCAGTGCTAAAAAGAAATGAATATTACTAAGTAAAAGAAGCCAATCTGAAAGGGCTACATACAACTAACTATATGGCATTCTGGAAAAGGCAAAACTATGGAGACACTAAAAAGATCAATAGTGGCCAGGGGTTGGGGGAGGAATGAATGAATAGGTGGAGCACAGAGGACTTTTAGAGCAGTGAAACTACTCTGTATGATACTATTATACAATGGTAGATATATGTCATTATACATATGTCAAAACCCATAGAATATACTACACCAAATGAGAACCCTAATGTAATGATGGACTTTGGGTTATAATGACATGTCAACGTAGGTTCATTGAATGCAACAAACCATTCCACTGCAGCATGTTGATAGTACAGAAAACTGTGCATAAGGGTAGGGGGATATATATGGGAACTCTGTACCTTCCACTCAATTTTGCTGTGAACCTAAAAATAAAGTCTATTTTTATGGCTGAATAGTGTTCCATGTCTTTATATACCACATTTTCTTTAGCCATTCATCTGCTGATGGACATTTAGGTTGATTCTATATTTTGGCTGTTGTGAATAGTGGTGCAATAAACATGGGGGTGCAGATAGTATTTCAATATACTGATTTTAGCCAGGCGCAGTAGCACACACCTATAGTCCCAGCTACTTGGGAGGCTGAGACAGGAGGATCACTTGAATATAGAAATTTGAACATAGTAAGACCCCATCTCTTAATTAAAAACAAAACCCAAAAAATATATATACTGATTTCCTTTCCTTTGGATAAATACCCAGTAGTAGGATTGCTGGATACTGTAGTCTATTCATGCCCTTTGTCCATTTTTAAATCAAATTATTTAGGGTTTTTGTTGTTGAGTTCCTTGTATATTCTTCATGTTAATCCCTTATCGTATGAATAGCTTGCAAATATTTTCTCCCATTATGCAAGTTGTTTCTTCCCTCTCTTTGGCTGTTTCCTTTGCTGTGCTTTTTAGTTTGATATAGTCTCAATTGTCTGTTTTTGTTTTTGTTACCTGTGCTTTTGAAGTCTCACCCATAAAACTGTTGCCCAGATCAATGTCCTGAAGCATTTCCCTCATTTTCTTCATTATTATAGTCTGGGGTCTTTTTTTTTTTTTTTTTTTTTTTTTGCCCAGGCTAGAGTAAGTGCCATGGCGTCAGCCTAGCTCACAGCAACCTCAAACTCCTGGGCTCAGGCGATCCTCCTGCCTCAGCCTCCTGAGTAGCTGGGACTACAGGCATGCGCCACCAGGCCCGGCTAATTTTTTCTTTATATATTAGTTGGCCAATTAATTTCTTTCTATTTATAGTAGAGACGGGGTCTTGCTCTTGCTCAGGCTGGTTTCGAACTCCTGACCTTGAGCAATCCGCCCGCCTCGGCCTCCCAGAGAGCTAGGATTACAGGCATGAGCCACCGCGCCCGGCCCTAGTCTGGGGTCTTATATTTAAGTCTTTAAGGGTGAATATAGTTAATAGTATTTTTTGCAGCATATTATGAGAGTACAAATGTTAAGGTTATGTGTATTGCCCTTGCCCCCCCCAAGACAGAGCTTCAAGCGTGTCCATCCCCCAGTTGGTGTGCATCACACTCATTATCTATGTATATACCCATCCCCTCCCCCACCACCTGCCCAACACCCAATAGATGTTATTCCTATATGTCCACTTAGGTGTTGATCAGTTAATACCAATTTGTTGGTGAGTACATGTGGTGCTTATTTTTCCATTCTTGGGATACTTCACTTAATTGGATGGGTTCCAGCTCCATCCAGGAAAATACAAGAGGTGCTATATCACTGTGGTTTCTGATAGCTGAATAGTACTCCATGGTATACATATACCACATTTTATTAGTCCACTCATGTATTGATGGGCACTGGGGTTGTTTCCACACCTTTGCAATGGTAAACTGTGCTGCTATAAACATTTGAGTGCAGGTATCTTTTTCAGAGTGACTTTTATTCTTTTGGGTAGATGCCCAGTAAAGGGATTGATGGATCAAATGGTAGATCCACTTGTATCACTTTAAGGTATCTTCATATTGCTTTCCACAGAGGTTGTACTAGTTTGTAGTCCCTCCAGCAATGTAGGAGTGTTCCTATCTCTCCACATCCACGCCAACATTCATTGTTTTGGAACTTGTTAAAGAAGGCCATTCTCACTGGACATGAGTGATATCTAACTGTGGTTTTGATTTGCATTTCCCTGATGATTAGAGATGTTGTGCATTTTTTTCAAGTTTTTGTTCATGTCCTTTGCCCACTTTTTGATAGGGTTGTTTGATTTTTCCTTGCTGATTTTCCTGAGTTTTAAATAGATTCTAGTTAGTTAATAGTAATTTACTGTATAATTTCACAAGCTAGAAGAAACGAGCTTGAATGTTCCCAATACGAACAAATGATATGCTAAAGGTAGATATGCTAAATTACCCTAATTCGAATTTTAACATGTTTGTATACATGTATTGAAGTATCACTCTGTATCCCATAAATATATACAATTACTATATGTCAACTAAAAATAAAAGACAAAAAATTATACTCTGGGAGGCCGAGGCGGGTGGATCGCTCAAGGTCAGGAGTTCAAAACCAGCCTGAGCAAGAGCAAAACCCTGTCTCTACTAAAAATAGAGAGAAATTAATTGGCCAACTAAAAATATATAGAAAAAATTAGCTGGGCAGGGTGACATATGCCTGTAGTCCCAGCTACTCAGGAGGCTAAAGCAGAAGGATTGCTTGAGCCCAGGAGTTTGAGGTTGCTGTGACCTAGGCTGATACCACAGCACTCCAGCCTGGGCAACACAGTGAGATTCTGTCTCAAAAAAAAAAAAAAAAAAAATTAAAAAGGCTATTTTTTTAAAAATACATGTGGGATCCTGGATTCAATCCTCTAGAACAGGAAAAGGACACTGAGGGGGAAACTGGTGTTAATTTCCTGGGTTTGATATTTATACTAACATATAAGTTATTAGGGAAAGCTAAGTGAAGTATATATGGTAACCCTGTACTACTTTTGCAACCATTCTGTAAATCTAATTTCAAAATAAAACATTTTAAAATTACAGCCTTAATTTCAATTTAAACAAACAAGATAAAACCTCCATTTCTTCAACAGATGCTTGCTGTGCATGCAGTATATTACAAGGCAATATTTTATAAATGAGATCACATGTAACAAAAGTCCTTCTGACATTTAACTGACTAAATGTTACTAATAATATTATTCCTCAATATAGTTAATACTATGTACCAGGCATTGTTCTAATTACTTCATGAGCATTAACTCATGTCACTGCCAGAATCACTCTACAATATAACTACTATAATCTCCATTTGATAGGTGAAAAAACTGAGTACCCAGAGTCAATTAGTAAAGAATTCAGATTTCAGCTCCCAAGTTCAGGGACTCAGCTACAATCCTATACTGTTCTTCAATAATAAAGTAGTAGTAGTAGCAACAGCATAAATGATAATGATGATGATGATGGTAATAATAATAAACCAGCAAAATATGTGAAAAATATACCTTGCATGAGATCTTTTGACCTACATCAAATTTCACTCTATAGCAGAGTATTGTAATAGATAAGTGCCAGTGTTATTAATATTGTATAATTATTATGGGGAGAAATGCTAATGTGAGTGTCTAATGGTTGAGGGTAAAAAGTTACCTTCTGTTTTTCTCTATAATCTTCTCCTTCAAACTTGTATAAACTTTGTTCAGTGTCCATTCTAAAATTTCTAAGAGAAGACTCTCCCATTTTCTGTAAGCGTTCATTCATCTCTGCAGTCTAAAGTTGAATACATCAAAATGAGAAAATTATCACTTAATTGTTAAAAAACGGTGAATTCTCTACCTTTTTAAAAAGTCAAGTTTTGACATGAGATATCCAGTCTATTTATAAGGTATGAGTGCAATTCTAACATCAAACTTGAATGTAAATTTAACTTACCCCAAGTATTTTAAATACTTAAATGGTGTTTCCCAAGTATTCTCAGGCTTTAAAATTGTTTTATCATTGAAAATATAGCCACATTATAATTTCTATTGTATAATTTTAATTGAATAGCTGGTGCTAAAATAAAGGTAATGTTGGGCTAGAGCAATACATTTTGCATACTGATATGAAATATATTATCACAAGATTGTTCAAAATATAGGATATGACCTCAAAAACAAAAATCTTCTGAAAAGCATATTCAACCATTTTACTGAATATTATAGTAAATATGGTAAAAATACACGATGGAGATGGAATCAGCAAAATCCACACTTTGAGCAACTCAAAAGGCAAACAACCCAGTTTCTTTACCAAATAAATGACAAGGAAAAAAATACATAAATGTGAGGGGAACCTATAGATTTAAAAAGATAAGATGACATATCAACCAATGGCAATGTGCAGACTTTATGTGCATTCTATTTTTAAAAAACAAAAACTTTTTTAAAAAGTATAACTATAAAACAACTAGGAATTTGAATACTACTTGGATATTTGATGTTATTAAAGAATTATTGGGTTTTTTCTAGGTGGGACAATGCTATAATGATTATGTTTTTAAAAAGAGTCCTTATATTTTAGAAATATATAGTGAAATACAGCTGAAACGATATGTCTGAAATTTGCTTCAAAATAATCTATAAAGGCTGAAATGAATTGGGGATATGAATGGGACAGGACTGGTTGATGGTTGTTAAAAAATGAGTGATGATTGCATAGAAGCTTATTATACTATTCTGTCTACTTTTGCTTATGTTTGAAATTATCCATAATTTATGAAAAAGGTGAATTAAACACAAAATATTCTGAAACAATTTATTATGCTTTAACAATTAATGCTTTAGTATTTCATGAAATGTTTACAAAAGATTTTCAATTACCACAATGTATCAGACAATTCCTAATCCAATGCAAAAAAAAAGATTATAAAAAATGCAGTCTTTATACATGTGTTGAAACACAAAATTTACTAGACTTTTAAGTACAGTATTTTCAATAAGCATGAGATATAAGGTCACTCAATTTTAAAGTCTGGTTCTTGGTCTTTCTCACCAAAAAATATTTTTAAACCCCTAATCCATCGATAGAAATAGATCCACAAGTTGTTAGAGAAAGTATGAGTTATTTGAAACATCTAGTTCAATGCAATGCAAATATAATACATATGCTGAAGTATGTTGATTTTAAAGCAATCTATTATGAAAACAAAATACCACTCTACTAACCTTCTTTTCCCCTCTTTCCAAAACAGTTGTAATGTCTTCATCTGTCAGCTCACTTTCTTTAGAAGCAAAAACATGTGTGGCTCCATGCCGTATCATTTGTAACATTTCCTCTTTTGCCAGCTTGTTAGACTGTTGGTCAATGAGTCTTCCTAATAATAAAAAATTGTATATATTCAATCAATTATGTTCCAAAGAACAGCAAATAGTTCTAATCAGAACAGCAAATAGTTCTAATCAGACACTACCACAGTTAACCATGCATAAAGCTCTATAAGAACAAAAAATTAGTGAGCATTAAAGTTATTTATTTAATGAATAACCCTACAAGTTTTTATTCTACCATACTTTCTATTTCGGTGTCAAGTTCCTTATGTAAAATTCAGTTAAAACTTGGAAGGACAGAAACATTTGTTTTTTTTCATGTTCAAACTATATTTTTCAGATCAAACTTCTCTATATGGAAAGGCACCCTCTAATACATGTTCTAAAAAATTAAAAACTAGACATTTTATCTGCTAAATAATACCAGATATGTCAAAAGGCATGCTATTGGCATTCAACTATAAGCTAGTGAAATTCAACTATTCCATAGACTGAAAGCAAGGGTTTTACTTAGGAATATTTCTTTTTTTTTTTTTTTTGGAACATTTCAATTAGCATTTTAAAATTATATTTTTACTTAATACATAATAATTATACATATTTATGGGATAGAGAGTTATGTTTCAATTTTTTTCTCTAAGTTTTCAAATTTTGGTCAATCTCTATTAAAAGTAACCTCCTTTGCAGAAAACTGCATTTGCATTTGCAAAAATGACCTAATTAAGTTTACATGTACAAATACCTTGTTGTATAACAATTGAATCAAGTCTCAATTTTATCTCAGCTCTCTCTACAATCCTTTCTTCAACAGTGTTGTCAGTGATGAGACGGAATACACGTACTGGCTTCTTCTGACCAATACGATGTGCTCGATCCTAGTAAAAAGAGTCCTAATATAAGATATTGGATATTCTGGATAAACTTGAGAGTACAGCCATCACATGCTGTGAAATTCTGAAAATAAAATTAGTTCTTTATCTCTCTAGATCTGCCTCTTTTGAAAGGAGGATGATGAATATTAAAAATACCTAAAGACCACTGGGAACAAAAATCTGTAAATATTATATCATTAATGAATGGGAAACTTCCAAAAGGACAAATGCCAAAGCCCCTTTAAGATGAGGACAAGAGGCAGCTGAAAGTTTCTGGATTGAGTTACTAAGTAACTTTAAACCACTAAATACAAACATCTTCTAAACTAGCAAGGAGTTTTATACCTAGTTAGCAAGGGTTGTTATGGTAGCAAAAGTCTGCTTTATCTCATCATCAAGCAGTTCTCTCTGCTTACTGAGGCAATTCAGGGATATGTAGTAAAGGGTCATAAAAATTAATGGGGTATTAATATCCTTACTACACAATGCTCTAGAATTGGTCCTATGGTTTATACCGTGTTGCCCCAAAAATAAGACAGGGTCTTATATTTATTTTTCCTCAAGAAGACACCCTAGGGCTTATTTTCAGGGGATGTGTTATTTTCCCCTCAAAGCCTCAGCTTACAGCACGCACAGGATGGCTGGGACCTGACAGGGGGAGCCAACCTTGTTGGTGAGGCTGCCCACACCTTTCCGGTCACCTCTGGGATAGTAGCTGTCACGATGGGGCAGATGAGAAGGGCTGCTCATCTTCTTTACCGCTCAGTGATGAAATGCATGGGTTGTACAGATACGCTGTGTAGCCACGCCCATCACTAGGTCTTATTTTCCGGGCAGGGCTTCTATTGCTCAAATGCTTAGAAATCCTGCTAGGGCTTATTTTATGGGTAGGTCTTATTTTTGGGAAAACACGGTAGTTGGTAAAGGTGACAGGTGGCAACTTCTGGCAATATAAAAACATCTAGGGAGTGTGTTTTAAAAACACAAAAGCTGCTAGAGCAAATAGGTAAAGGGAGGAGAGTAGCAGAGAGAAAAAAAATCAAAGAAACAAGATTCAAAGCAGCCCTTGTACTAAATATAAAAACACTAGAGCCTAGTAACAAAGTTTCAACACAGCACATTAAAAGAGAATGCAATACCCTATACATATTTAAAATTTTAAACCCAAACCAACAAATCCTGAAAGATCAGCTCTACTCTAACACTTTTGAGGAAATAAAGTGCTATCACCATTAGGTTATCCAGTTCACTAACACTGTAACTTCCGGGGGCTTACTGCTACTTAGTCACATCAAACAGGTAGTTCAACACCATGCTAACGTAGTAATAATTATGCCACAGCATACTGATTTTAAAATGTCCCAATGATCAACCTTTTTCAAGTCTCTATTATAAAAGGGAGGACTTCTAAGTAATACCTCATTGGCAGATGACTTTTCATTGTTTCCAAAAAGACAGTCAATTATGCCATAACTTCTTGTGATTTTGAATATGTGGAGTTATTTTGCATCTTTTTACTTCTGAAATTATATTTCTTTATTTGAAAATGTGAGTCACATTTGATAGAAGCTATAGCTCTAGTTCAATAAATGATGCCAAAATGTCAAAGGAGTTTAGTGTCATGATGAAAGGTAAGAGGAAAAGCTCCCTGAAAAAAAATATTTTTAAAGTATAGAATAGTCCTTAAGCAGCAAATGACTTCCTGGAATATATTCCCTTCTTACCTTTTTATCTTCTCTCCCCAATCATTTTACTATAAAAGTTAAAATCCTACCTCTCCCAATTTCATTAATAATAGAGATTAATTTTATAACCCTTTTCATTAAAACAAATGTATGTGTCCTCTTCAATTTTCAGGAATGGGAAAAAAACTGACATTTGTGTTTCATGGTAAAAGCCAAAATTGACATAAATATGTTATAGTTGGATCTGAGGTATGTTTATTTGTTTTCATTTCTTTTGTTTGTTTTACAATTACAACAGCAACTTTGTTTTCCAGGATAATCTACTCTAACTTCTACAAAACCTCCCCCAAAGTTGTTAACCCTTTTATTGTAAATTACCTTTGTGCTATATAAATAGTATTCTGCGCTATGATAAATTTCTGACATCATGAAAGATTACTAACCATAGCTTGTAGGTCAACCTGTGGATTCCAGTCTGAATCATATAGTATAACCACATCAGCACTTGCCAAGTTAATTCCGAGACCTCCAGCCCTGGTACTCAGCATAAAGATGAACTTGCTACTATTGGGAGCATTAAAAGCCTCTATTGCTTCCTTTATTTTTGTAATTGCCAAAGGGATAGAAAAAAAAGAAATAAATATCAAATTATATCACCAGAGTCCTTAAGAAACAAATTTTAACATGCATACAGAAAATCTTTCTACATTTTACAATATCTTTATAAATATATTTTATATTCTTCTATCTTTAAAAACATTTAATCATATATCTATATACTGTACTGTGTGAATTGCTATAAAAAGTATATTACATAAATGAAGTTCCTAATCTTTAAAAGTTTACATCAATAGGCAAACTTAGAACAATCACATAATTAAATTTAACTAAACAATAATTCATTTATATTATTTTAAAACAATAGTGAAAATGTTTTAATGGAGAGCTGAAATGTACCTGGGGGTAAAATATCAGAAATCTCAACTTTATTTCCATTAGCTTATAAAGGATTAATAAGGAAGGTATGATTAGGTATGGTTTAGAAGATGAACCAAAAGAGAAAAAGTTTAGAAATGAGAATAAGAGCAACAGATAAAAGAGATGGTAAGATTTTTATCAGTATGGTAACAAGGGACAAACAGGTAAGTAATGAGGAAAACAAGATAATCTGGAGATATTTAGTAAAGAATCATAAAAAATTAATATTGATATGCTTACTATATAAAGGTCTCAAATAAATTAATTAGAAAAACACTAAGACTTCAACAGAAAAATGAACAGACAATTCACAGAACAAACACAAATGGCTAAAAAACACAGTAATAATGTTCAGTCTCACTAGTAATCAAATAAATGCAAACTGAAACAACATAATACCATTTTTTGAAGATAAAAAAAATGATAATACTCAATGTTGACGAGGGGGTGGTGAGACGGGCACTCTCATACACTGCTGCTGGGAATGTAAATTGGTACAAACTTTCTGGAAAGCAATTTGGCAATATGCATCAAGAGCCTTAAAAATGTTCATACCCTTTGACCCAGTAATTCCACTTCTAGGAATTTATCCTAAGGAAATAATCAGAGATGTGTATAAAGATTTATGTATAAGGACTTTCACTGTAGCATTATTTATAATAGTGAAAAGTTGGAAACAGCCTAAATGATCAACAATAGGGGGATAATTTATAATATATAAATAATTATATAATCCATAGGATGAAATATTACTTTAACATTATGTTTACAATGATCTTTTAATGGACATAGAAAAGTACAATATGTTGAATAAAAAGTATCAGGATACTGAACTTCATATAAAGCATATATAGTATGATATCAATTACTTATACATGTTATATATACATCAAAAGATTGGCCAGAAATGCTTTTATTTTCCAAATATCCAAATTTCTTTATTCTATTTCAGCAACCACATATTATTTGTATAATCACAAAATACAGGTAAGGTTTTTTTTTTAATAAATAGAATGGCATGGTCAAAGTTATAGGCAGAGAAGGTGACTCCCACTGCCACAGTCAGCACAGCAGGTAAAGGAGGCAGTATAGAAAGCAGCGTGGTGTAGTGAGAGGCACCTTAGTGTAGAGGAAAAAGCAAAAACCTGGGCATGAATCACAACTTTACCATTTATTGCATCTGGGATTCTGGGCAAGCATTTAACCTCTCTGAGACACAGTTTCAAATGGAGAAAATTATACCAATACTTTACCGGGCTGCTGGGAGAATTCAATTGGAACTTTAAGATGCCTAGTTTATAGTAGTTGCTTGACAAATGTTAGTTCTTTTCCCTCTAAAAGTGAGGAGGCCAGTTAAGTAGAGGTTACAGGAACTGAGTCAGAGGATGACCAGAGACTTTGTTAGCTGAATCTAGCTGTAGTAATAGAGAAGGGGCAAATCTGAGAGCTACTGAGAAAGAATTATTTATTGACAGCTGGCACACAATCAGAGTAAGATACCAAATGTGGTCTTCCTCTTCTTATTGGGAAAATGGATGAAATGATGGTGTGGACAACAATGTCATGGGAAAGCAGGGAATTTCCAAGAAAAAAATGAATAGTTCTAACTTTGCTATATTGAAAGTCAACAGATGTAATTCAGAGTCTCTGAAGGGAGAACATTATTTTGAATTTTTAAAAAACCAGAACAATTTGGACATATATAGGTAATGAGCAGAGAGATCAGTCAGAAATGCAAATTGGCTACGTGAGATCAGAAAGCACTTACTATTCTGCCTTGGTATGTGCTTTTCATTCTAGGAAGGATCATCTTGAATGGCACCATAGGGCCTGTGCTTAGTGTGGATTCAGAGAAACCAGTTCTCAGAGTAAGTCACAGCAAGTAAAGCTTCAAGTTACCATCTCAGATTTAAAAAAAAAAAAAAACAACTATAGGGCAGGGAAAAGCGTAAGCCTTGAAACATCCCCATATGCCTAAATGTTATAACAACTGTTTCCCTATAGGGTAGCAGTAAAACCCTTAATATGAAAATGGCCTGTGTGCTTGCTGCAAACACTATCCTATGCTATAGCCAGCCTTCAATGAGGAGGCCCATCCCCTTGTGCCTAGTACAGTGTTGAACACATACTAGGCATTTAATAAATGCTTGAATTAAAAATAAAAAAAATAAAAAAGGACGCCCACAAGGGACAGAGTGCCCAGTGCAGCTATGGAAGAAGAGGGAAGCATGCTAAGAGTCTTTATAGGCTGAGATGGGGCCTTAAAGGTAAAAAGTAAAAAGGCCTATGTGCAATTTCATGACATGTGCTGTGTACTGCACTATTCAGTTTAAACCTGTATTCATATCTATTATATCCACTGATCCTCACAACAATGTTGTCAGAAAAAGAAGCCCAGATGTCAATTGTATTAAACTTATAATACAATTAAAGACACTGAGGCTCAGAGAATTAAATGGCTTGCACATGCTACAAAGTGGTAAAGTTGGTGCTAAAATTCAGGTGTTCTGAAACTAAGTTCAGAGCATTTTTGACTATACCATAAAATCATAATCTTTGCCCAGAATATGAGTACAGCACGTCCTTGAATTAACGTCGTTTTGCTATAAAGCTGATGAGAAAAAAATCAGTTCCCAGCCAGGGCCACTATCTGTGTGGTTTACATGTTCTCCCCATATCTGCGTGGGTTTTCTCCTGGTACTCTGGTTTCCTCCATCCCAAAGTTGTACCCATTAGGTGAACTGGTGTGTCTACACAGTCCCAGTGTGAGTGAGTGTGGGTGTATATATGAGTCCACCCCTTGATGGATGGTGGCCTGTCTAGGGTCAGTTCCCACCCGGAGCCCTGAGCTGCCAGGAGAGGCTGAGGCCACTGTGACCATGAACTGGAATAAGTGGGTAAATAATTATCTTGTTGTTATTAATCTTTCTTAAATCTATATATAGCTCACATTTATTTCAATGTTTAATATTAGAAGTGTTTTGATCCTTATTTAGAAGTCTGGTGATGTTTTGTGACCAGACATATGCCATAGGAATTTAACTTGTTTATATCAATTATCCTACAGTAAAACTGGTTTCACCATACGTTGTTTCGCTTAAAGTTGCAGTTTCCAAGAATTCATCAACAACGTTAACTGAGGACTTACTGTATAGACTTAAAACAGAAGCCAAAGAGAGCCCTGGAGGATCACAGAAAATAGAAAATAAATTATCAAAGCCTTCCCCAAAAAAAGTGCTTTAAGGGGTTTAAAACACATGTGACCCATGACATTTGTGAGAGATAATATAAACACCTATAAGAATTTCCAAATTTAAGATACTAGAAAATAGGTAGACTTACTAAGTAACTCATTTCTGCACACCAACCTTTTAGCATCCCAAGATCCAAATTCATGATAAGCACCTATACCTATGTTGTCACATTTAAGTTTTATAAAAGCTCTATGAGGCCAAAATTATTCCTTTTACAAATTACTGTTCCATGGGTCTTTAAAGTTGTTTATAAACTGGCAAAATCTCAACCATTAAACTCCACAAATGGCAAGGGTCTGCTTTAAGCAGCAAAGCAAAAAAGAAAATGATATAAAATTAGAGGCCAGCCAGTAAGCTGAGCAACAGTTAGTAATCAAAGATCAGAGACAGCAGTGGTTAGAGGAGATAAGGATGGAATGGTATAGTGTCCTTTAGATAAGTGAGAATGTCTTTGAAGACCTTGGAAAGGATGATTTGTAAAGAGTCAGTGGAATGGAAACCAAATTGAAGATCAAAGAGAGAGAGAGATAACAGTGACAAAGTCAATGCTCCTAGCTAAAGAAAATGCGAAAGTTCAACAAAACTACCTAATGGTGAAAAACATTGCTTAAACTGAACTCTGATTTTTGAAGTTTTGTTTTATTGTCTCTTCCTTACCTCTCTTTCTTCGTGTGGGGTTTGTCCATCGAGTCGACAATACTCATAACCACGCCACATGCAATAATCCTCTAAAATGTCCAGCAAGCGAGTCATTTGACTGAAAATGAGAACCCTTGAACCTAAAACATTTCAACAAAAAAGTTATATAACTTGTGTACAACTAACTTAAAAGTTACAAGAATAAAATTAAACATTATATGCAATATAAATATACAGTACATCAACACTCCACCACACACATACAAACACACAGATACTCACACACCCCTTCAAGGGATGCTATGTAAAATTATGCATTTGTTGAGTTACATGTTTTTAAGGTCTTTAAAATCCTACATACATACTGAAATGATTTAACATCTACCTTTACTTTGTCCTAAGGATGAGTGATGGGTCCAAAGGGCTCTCTCACTGGACTAATGCAATAGCTCTCCAAACTAGTCTCCTATTTCTAGTCTCTTGTCCTCAGTAGACTCCCCATACTGCTTCCAAAGTTCTCTTCCTAACATACAAGAGTGACATTCTCTGTCACTCTCCACACTCAAATATCCTATGACCCTCCCTCTACCTTCAAGATAAAAGTCCCGACTCCTTAAAGCATGGTTTAAAAGACCTTTTCACAATTTGGTCCATCCATCTTCCCAGATTCATCAACTGCCACTCTACCCCAAATACCATAAGCTCCTCCCATTCCCTTTTTTCACACTTCTGTTTCATTGCCCTCCTTTTTCCCATAGTTCACTCCTATACATTCTTCAGTGCTCACCTCAAATGTCATCTCTGTGAAGACTCTCCCAACTCCCAGTTTCTCAACATATCATAGCACTTATCACAATGAACTGCAACTATTCCTCCTCACTACACTGTGAGCTTCTCCAAGGCAAAGACTGTTGTCTTATTCATCTTTGTACACCCAGCCCGTAGGATAATTCCTGGCAAATAGTAAGTACTCAACAATGTCTGCTGAACAAGTGAATGAATGAATATGGAAAATTTTATTCATATACATGTCATTAATATGAATTTATTCCATGCTAATTTTAAAAATTTATTACTCACCCTGTTCTTTGAGTTTGGCCAACAGTTTATCCAGAACTACCATTTTACCACTGTTGCTGACAACATGCTCATCAGTGGTGTAAGGTGGACCAGGCTCAGCACCATCAAACAGATACGGATGATTGCAACACTTTCGAAGCTGCATCAGAATGTTTAAGAGTCGCATCTTGTCCATCTTGCCAGCAGAGTTTAAAACGTCAATATCTTTCATCAGGATTTTTGTATACCTAAAATTTTAAACTATAATTAATCATCAATTATTAGAAAGGTTAATGTCAAGAAGAAATGTTTCTTTGGCCATCAGACTACATTCCTGTTTAAAGATAAACAACAAGATTTGATTTGAAACTAAATGTGATCAGCAAAACCAGCAAACTAATGAAGACGGGAACATTGTAATTTGTATGTTGCTTATAGACCTGTTTCCTCCTGGTTATCTATTATTAGAAATTGCCACAAGCTGATAATTATTTAGAGACTTATCTCTGATAGTTATTCAGTAAGTACAAAATTTGCTGAAAGTTGACAGCCAACTTTTACTTGTTAGAGTTAAAAACAAAATCAATTTTTTCCTTTTCTTTCTTATTTTTAGAGACAGGCTCTAACTCTGTCACCCAGGCAGCACAGTGGCGTGATCATAGTTCACTGTAACCTCAAACTCCTAGGTTCAAGTGATGCGCCTGCTTTAGCCTCCCCAGTAGCTAAGACTACAGGTATGTGCCACCTTGCCTAGCTAAATTTTTTATTTTTATTTTATTTATTTATTATTTTAGAGAACAAGTCTCACTATGTTGCCCAGGCTGGTCTCAAACACCTGGCCTCAGCAATATTCCCACCTTGGCCTCCCAAAGCACTGGGATTACATGTGTTCCATATAATAATTGCCAACTTTTACTAAATGCAAGTACCAGGTATCATGTCAAGGGCTTTATATGAATCATGCACCAAATCTTCACAATTATTCTGAGGTACATACTAGTATCATACCCATTTTAAACATGAAAATTCAGGCAGCTAGAAGAAGTTAAACAACTTAGGGTCACAGCAAGGGACAAAGCCAAGGTTTGATCTTGTGTCTGAGTCCAAAGAATATACTTTTTTTTTTTCTTTTTGAGACAAAGTCTCACTCTGTTGCCAGGGCTAAAGTGCCGTGGCATCAGCCTAGCTCACAGCAATCTCAAACTCCTGGGCTCAAGCAATCCTCCTGTCTCAGCCTCCTAAGTAGCTGGGACTACAGGTATGTGCCACCATGCCCTGCTAATTTTTTTCTATATATTTTTAGTTGGCCAATTAATTTATTCCTATTTTTAGGAGAAATGGGTCTCACTCTTGCTCAGGCTGGTGTCGAACTCCTGAGCTCAAACAATCCTCCTGCCTCGGCCTCCCAGAGTGCTAGGATTATAGGTGTGAGCCACCGCGCCCGGCCCGAAGAATATACTGTTAACCTCTACCCTATACTGGCTTGTATACTAGAGAAATCATTATATATTTTATACATGATCTAATTTTACTTATATAAGTAACATTTTGCTTCTTTTAGCAGCATTACTACATTCTTAATATGTCCTATTTATGTTTCCTGTGACTCCCTTGTCAATTTCCTGCTTTGCTTATATTTATCAAATGATTCCAGCTTCTATTTTTGTAATATCCAAAATTCCGGATGTTTTCATCATCACTATTATGATTATTACTATGCTCACTGATAGAAAAAGCAAGAATAACTAACCATTGTGCCAGTGACATCATCCCCTTTAATCTCAACATCATCGTCATAAGCTAAATATTACTGTTCCCATTTTACAGAAGGGAAACTTAGGTTATGTAACTTACCCAACCTAAATAGCTACTAAGAGGCAATGTGTGGGATTCAAATACAGATCTCTAACTCCACAGCCTATGCTCTTTCCCAAAGATTAAATAAAATACATATAAATTTTCTCTTTAAATATTTGAATTACTTTACTTGTCAATGAAATATAAAATGTAATTTTGAACTAAAGGCATAACTGAACAACTACAAAGGCATAACTGAACAACTACAAAACTAATTTTTAGCAAATTCTGATACACAAATTTTAATTAAAAAATAGCTCACCATTCTCGTTGCATCTTACTCAGTCCCAAGTAAATCTTTATTTCCTTTTTAGGAGGCAGACTCTTCTCTACATCAGTTTTTATACGACGTAACAAAAATGGTTTTAAAACCTAAAAAGTGATAGTTTTTATAAAAGTTTATAAAACATTTAATATTATCCATAATATATTATTATATATAATATTATTATATACACACAACACACACATACATACATACATATTTTTTTTGAGAGAGAGAGAGTCTCACTCTCTTTCCCGGGGCTAGAGTGCTGTGGTGTCAGCCTAGCGCACAGCAACCTCAAACTCCTGGGTTCAAGTGATCCTCCTGCCTCAGCTTCCTATGTAGCTGGGACTACAGGCAGCTACGCCACGTGCAGCAATTTATATTTTTAGTTGTTTGGCTAATTTCTTTTCTATTTGTAGTAGAGACAGGGTCTCGCTCTTGTTCAGGCTGGTCTCGAACTCCTAAGCTCAAGCAATCCTCCTGCCTCGGCCTCCCAAAGTGCTAGGATTACAGGTGTGAGCCACCATGTCCGGCCTCATATTTTATTAACAACACTCTAACGTGAAATTTATTTCTCACTGCATAATCTGACAAACACTACCAATACCAATTGCTAACTTTCTTGGTAAAGAACCACCAAGTAATGGCCCATTAAAAAAATCAGAATAGGGGACCTAAAGTAGACATTCATGATTTGATGGCACAAAAGACATTAGAAATTAAGACACAAAGATTATTGACTACTGAATGAGTGCAAAGAGCCCCTTTTTAAAAAGCTGCTATAATACAAGAAGATTTTTAAATCCGAGAGGAAATCTGAAGTCAGAGTATCAAGCAAATAGTCTCCAAAAATGAAATACAAATGCAGACCATTTCAAAATATGGTTATGTATTTTGATGGGGATATGTTCTGAGAAATGCATCATTGGGTGACTTTGTCATTGTGCATACATCATAAAGTGTACTTACACAAATCTAAATGGTATATATATATTTTTATTTGTGCATGTATATATACATATATATATATATATATGGAAAATCAAATATCCCAGCATCATTTCCTACTTGATCTGCAATGCCAATATCAAGTGCCATATATCTGGTTTCTATATATGCTCCACTACATCTTCAGGGACTATGGTCATACATGCAGACTGTCATTGACCAAAATGTCATTATGCAGGGTATGACTGTAGTTAAATACATGAGTGAGGAGAAAACAGTTCCATGTGAAGGAAGATATAGATGAATAGAGATAAAGATAAAATAACCAATGTATACATGAAAGACAGATTCTATCACAAGAAAGTAACAGTGCTACAATCTATATAGTACCTACCTATAATGTGCCAGACACTGCACTATGAACTTTACACATAGTATTTAATACTTACAATAAATCTGACAGAAATGTGATTATTTCAATTTTTATAAGTTCACCAAAGTGAACTTACTAGCAAAGTCACTTTGCTAGTAAGTGGTAGATGTGGACTTTAAACCCAGATCAGGCTTATTCTAAAAATCAGCTCAGTTCCTGATTAGCTGTCATGAGCGTGGGCAAATTCTTCATTTTTCCAAGCCTGTTTCCTCATCTGTTCATCCAAAAATATTTATGTTATGTGTACATGCCAAACATTTTTAAATGGGGATAGTAACTATTTCTAAGACTGCTGTGGAAATTTGTAGTAGTACATTTGCAGAGCTTAAGTGCAGTAGACACTCAATAAGCGGTAGCTATTATGAGTAGATATCTATGGGAGGTAAAGAAAAGGGAAGAGTAAAAGATGACTTCGGGTTTCTGGTTTGAGTCTCTTAAACTTGTTTAAGATATATTCTTAAGAGTTTCAAGTGCCAGTGAGACATTTAGGCAGAAAGTCTTAGAGGGCAGTGATATGTGAAAGTATAGAAGCTTAGGAGAGATAAGGAAAGGTAACTTTGGGAGTCCTCAGTATATATAGGTGGTACGTGAAACCATGGGAATGGATCCCCAGGGAGAGCATGTATGAAAGTCAAAGACGAAGCCCTATAAAATGCTAAAGTTTAATGGACAGAAAGAGAAAAAAAATCCCATAAAGGGGACTAAGAGTGGCCAAGGATGTAAAAGCAAATCCAGGAGAGAATGGTATCCTAGAAACCAAACAGGAAAGAGTTTCCAGCAGGAGAAGTGGTTAGTACTGTTAAATAGTACAGAGAAGCCAAGATACTGACAAAAACATGTAACCTGAATTCAGCAACTGGAAAGTCATTGAAGATCTTAAAAAGTTTCAGTTGTATGGACAGAAGCCAGTGCCAAGTGAGTTCAAGAATGACTAGGAGCCGGGCGCCGTAGCTCACGCCTGTAATCCTAGCACTCTGGGAGGCCAAGGTGGGCGGATTGCTCGAGGTCAGGAGTTCGAAACCAGCCTGAGCAAGAGCGAGACCCTGTCTCTACTATAAATGGAAGGAAATTAATTGGCCAACTAATATATATACAAAAAATTAGCCAGGCATGGTGGCACATGCCTGTAGTCCCAGCTACTTGGGAGGCTGAGGCAGTAGGATTGCTTGAGCCCAGGAGTTTGAGGTTGCTGTGAGCTAGGCTGACGCCAGGGCACTCACTCTGGCCTGGGCAACAAAGCGAGACTCTGTCTCAAAAAAAAAAAAAAAAGAAAGAAAGAAAAAAAAAAGAATGACTAGGAGATTAGGTAGTAGTGATGGAGAGGATCAAATACTCTTTCAGGAAGTTTAGCTATCAATGGAAGAAAACAGAATCACAGCTAGAGAGGGACTGTGTTGAGGGAACCCTGTTTTGTGTAAGTGTGAGAGTGGGTGCATACAGCTTCGGGTTTGGATTTAATAAGAGATACCTGAACATGTTTATATGTTGAGGGAAAAGAGCCAATATGGAGGGAGAGGTAGAAAATGTAGACAATTAAAAGGATATATCATGGGGGAAAGTACATAAGAAAATAGGAAAAGATGAGATCCAGGGTTCACCTGGAAGAATTAGCCATTGACCAGAGAAAGGACACCTCTTCCACTCAGACAGAAGGTAAATAACACAAATGCAAATATCACTGGAAGACAGACATCCTTGAAAGAATTCCTACCTAATGACTTCTATTTTCTCTTTGAGAAAGAAATGATGTTACCTGCTGAGGGAGAAGGAGGGCAGGAGATATCTGGGATGGAAGTCTTGGGGAGATTGGGGAAAGTCTAAAATAGCTGTTAACAGGAAATGGGAGAGAGGCTAGTAGAAGACCACATTGTAAGATCACCAGTATCTTGACATCCCAACTTATGCTAGAGAACACAACATCATAGCGGTCTCAACCTGTACAGCTGTGAATTCTTCTTTATCAGTGTTGAACAGCCCAAGTACAGACAAGGTCACTCAATCTTCCAGTAAGTGGTAGAAGCAAAATTGAAACCCAGAAGACAATGACATTATTCCAGTTTAGGGTTTTCAGGGCAGGTATGGCAGACAGACAAGGGGGTAAGGGAGTTTGGCAGTACTGGCCAAAGAGTGGTTCAAGTGATAGAAAATGAACTCATTGCTGGATACCGAAAGAAGTCACAACAGAAATGGGCTGACAGACAGGGAGACAAAGCAGGGATCCAGGGACTGGGGATTTCTGTGAGGTAACAGAACAGGTACAGAAGTAGTAACATGAGTGAAAGAGCTAGAAGTATATAAGAAGTTCTTATCAAAGAATGGAAAGCTGGTGTACAATAAACACAAGGGAGCCACCTGGGGATGAAGAGATTGATAGGAAAGAGAATGGGTGGAGGGTAACCTGCAAGATGGTTTGGGCCTCAAGGAAGAGTTTTATACATGACAGTAGAGCAGCAGTAACTCAGAGGTGGCTTTTGAGAACTAGAAGAATACTAACACTATCCCGAGGACCTGTGGAGTATGGGACAGTGAACAATCTCTACTGGAGAGAGGACCACATTATCCATGGGGGAGGGCAAAGGCAAAAAAAAAACCTATTCAATAGAGAGGCTGAGGATATAGTACAATTTGTTTATCAAAGAGGCTTGTCAGAAAGGTTGGGAGGGAGAAGCAGTAACATTGAGACAAGAGGCAAACAGATTGTACAGAAGTTTGTTTTCTGGCTCAGTTATATATATCATTTAATTACTGAATTTTCTTGTCTGCTGTTACTTACTGCATGAAGTCTTTCCACAAGTTTTTGATCACCAAGGCAATTTTTAGTGTCAAACCAAGAATCAAAGTCCTGTGGAGGAGCAGAAATTCTGAAATAAGTACACAGTTTTGTTTTTTTTTTAACAAACTCGATATTCTATAGATTCTTATATAACCAATATAGAAATAATCCATTTGAAAAATACTTTCAAAAATATATTAATTGTGATGGCCAATATTATTATTTGCTTCTGAAAACAGGTAAAATACTGGCATAGTTAACAAAATTTGAACAGCATTATATAGGAATTCCATCAGCAATTTTTCCTTAAAAGACATTTATTAGGCTTCCCTATACCATAGTAATCTCACATCTAGTTAAGAAGGAGTACAAATATAAAAATCAAAGACAAATAATGCTAATAAAAAATGTTAATCTTATCAAACAATAAAAACAAACAAAAGCTAGATAAGGTATACAAACCAATGGATAAATGAACTTGGTACGTTTTATCATCAAATAATATCTCTAATGGGGAAAATCAAGCTCCAAAGTCCTTAAATCATTCAATTCAGTTTGCTACCCTAGAATAACAATCTACATTCTGTGCTTTGAAAAAAGATGTCTGGGAACATAAAATTGTACTTAAAATGTATGGCTTAAACTTACATCTGCAGAATTAAAGACATCAGGCAATAAAAAGTTGAGTAAGGCCCAGAGTTCATGCAGATTATTCTGCAAAGGTGTTCCAGTTAGGAGCAAGCGGTTAGTTGACTTGAACTCACGAACAATCTCTGAAAGCTAGAAAAATAATACTTATATAAGCATTGTTTTATTTATTAGAGCGTGTAACATTCAGTTATACTGTACTTTATCCAACCAATACATTTCTTGACTACAATAAAATTTGACAATTAATTTTCTATGGAAAAATAGCCTAGTTCAGATGACATTGCTACAGTGAAACACAACTGAACAAAATATCCTAGGCATTTCTACACTTCAAAGAATGCAGATTATATTTATACCTGAGACCCCTCCCCCACTTCAAAAAGCTTTATTTTCTCCATTTTGGGCTCAGAAAAAAAAAGTCAGAACTTCTCCATGGAATCCAGGTAGTCATTTTACACAACAAAATCTCCTTCTTCCCCACCAACTACATTCATTTACATGCCTAGCCAAGTTCTAACTTGGCCTGGTCAAAACTTTTAGGCATCAGAATTGAGCCCATTTTCCCAGTACCTTATATTAACTTTCTAAATATTAAGACCACAGAAATTAAGACACAAAAAGCAAAAAAAAAAGAACAGTAATCTTATCAACAAAAATGCACATTTTTAATGCTCTTAAATAATTATTCTCTAACATGCGTCCTCTTATCAGGTATTAGTTCCAATTTGAAATTAGTATGATCCACCTGGTGGTTTTGCTCCAGTTCTGTCCCTGTTTCTCCCAAAGTAGCCCAGTGATCCAAAGAGAGGTTCATCATAATAATTGAAGCTTTTCCTACTGTTGATGGAGTTGAATGGCAAGAAATATTGATATTTTTCAATGTTAACACCACACTCTAATTCACACAAGTCAGATAATTCCAGGAAATTCTTTTTTCTAATCCATATAAATACATATAAGGTAGCTCCCCAATAAAAAATAAGTCAATGCAAATGATATTTGTACACCAAATATTCTCAACAATATTAAAATACTGTAGCATAATAGAATTAGGCTACACAGGAAATATAACAAATGAACACAATTTTCTTTATATTAAAAACTGCACTCAATTTATATTTGCCCTGTATTCATTAATTTAGCTTTCCATTCACATTCCATGAATAAAATCACAATCTTCCATAATGTTTTATTTTGAATACAGAAAAGTTAACAAACGGACCCAGTAATTAAATGAAAACTCGAATAAAGATATTAAGAACTTACCTTAGATTTTTCATTCTTTATCCTGTGAGCTTCATCAATGACTAGATATCGCCAATGAAACTTTTTGAATACAGATTTTTCTTTAATTACCATCTCATAAGAAGTAACACAAACGTCCCATTCTCCTGGCATCATTTCATCACGAATGAAGGCAGCCTAATGCAAAATAAAGTTCTTTATATTAGAATATACTTTATATTAGAATATGTGACAATATGATCACAAAATTTAAGTATCAAGTGAACATTAAGAGTTGTAAGAGATCTGATGATCATTCACTCTCATTCATTTTAAAGATGGGAAAACTGAGGCCCAAAGATACTTTTATTGTCAATTATCTGGAAGACATGCTAATATATTCACCAACAGAAGAGAAACAAAGGCTTCCCTTACACAAGTATAGCACAGTCAACAAACTAGAAAAGTTCTTATCACCAGAAAAATCACTAAATTACTAGGCTTGTCTTCATATCACGAGGAGTCCAAAAGGACATGGACAAAGTAACTCTTTCTGAATACCATGCTCTTACCAAGATCCAACCATTACCAACATAATATAGTTTCAACAAATAGAAAGAACTCAATATACATGAATGATTCCAACCTTTTGAAAACTCTTGTACATTCCTTCATTTTCTTGCAGGGATGAATTATATACTCAAGACGTCATGGAAGCCCATTAATGTTTTTGTGAGATTACTATTGTTATTATGAGGCTAAAATTGTAATTTTATAAAGGGGACTTGCTCTATCTAGTACAGAACGCTATTTAAAACAGTGAGACTACTTAGAACTATTTTTAACTCTTCAGAGGCAGTGGCCAACATGGTAGCCAAGTTGACTGAGAGCATTTTTAACTTGTATGAACTAAATTCCAGATGTTATAGGTCAAAAGAAAACCACAAAAGTTAATAGGGAGCAGCAAAATCTATATTAAGAAGGGGCTAATTAGTACTGTAAATCTGAAGTTACAATGCATAAACAAAATTAACTGTTCACTGCATAGTCTTTATTTCATAATTCACAGCTATGCACCAAATATACTGTTGACACAGTCAACAAATATTTACTGAGTGCACACTGTGCAGAAGAGCATAGCCTGAAGTAGAAGATAGGGGGGAAAAAAGCCTGTGTAGAAATCTCAGTTGTACCTTAGGGAATGGTCATATGTAAAAAGTTAATTAAGATATTAGGGAATTTGAGACAAAATAAAGAGAAGCAGGGTGCCAGGCCCTATTCAGTCCTGCTAACACCTTATCCTTGTTTGATTTTGTGAGACATTCCATTTGATGGTTCCTTCTACAAGTTTCATGGAATAGATGCAAATTTTCAATTTAATTAGTTCTGCTAGCTGGGCACAATGGCTCACATTTGTAATCCCAGCTACTTGAGAGGCTGAGGTAGGAGGATTACTTGAGCCCAAGAGTTCAAGACCAGTCTGGGCAACACAGCAAGACTCCATCTCAAATTAATTAATTAATTAGCTTTGCTTTGAAATTTTTGTTACTGATAGCTTTAGAGTTAACTATATTGATAAAATATTAAAGGTTGTCACATAATCCAAAAGCTCTCATTTTAAAGGTGACAAAATTAAGGCCCTTTGAGACTCACTCAACATCACACAATGAGTAGGCAAAGCCATAAATAAAACCAGATCTGTTTCTTTATCCACTATCTTTGATACCTCTAGTGTGGAAAAGGCAGGGTCACAAAACCGTGTTTGGGAATCACACCTCTATATACCTTCAGGACTGCATTGGTATCAGACAGGATCAAGAGTATCTCTAATAATCTCTTAACTTAATTAAATACCTACCATAGCCTACATCAAATGTTTTATTACTAAAACACCGTCCTCAAAATGTTTACAGAAGGCCAGGAAAATAGAAAGACCCAATATATCTATCCTACGTAGTATGAAAATTCAAATCTGCCTATAAATAATGATGTGGTCTTCCTCCATACATATTGACAACAATTTCTATGTGCTGAGTATGGTACATTCATTACTTATGTAATTGATAATTACTGATTTTCAAACTCTTTACCATGGCCCATAGTTGCATTACATTTTAAACTGCAATCCAGTATACACATAAATGTTTGAGTGCATGTACATAGAAAGAGACAATTTAAAAGTTTCTCAAAATAATATTTATCCTTACTACAGCATGAAACTCTACTATTTGCTATTTTATTTTCTCTTGATGTTGTAAAAAGTTGTCACCACCTACTAAGCTGAATTTGCAACCCAGTAATGTGTGGCAACTCACAATTTGAAAAACACTAACTTTGAAGACTGGTTTTCAAGATTTAGAAATTTCTCAGGCCACCAGAATCCCAACCTCCTATGGGGCAGAGATAGGGCAGTCATAAATTAAATGCATCCACACTTTCTTTAAAAGTCCCAGAGATACTGTTCCATGAAACCCTTAGATTTCATGTAAGATAGCTGAAAGCCAGGGATTTACATTTTTACTGAGGGATTATGAAAACACGAGCCCAGATATTTCGCTTTTGCTTTTGATCTTCAAGAAATAATTTGAGCAAAAGATCAGCATGTCAGAAATGCAAAATTCTATAAGGAATGGTATTACATTAAATAACAGCAGTGACCAGAAAGAGTTCTAAGAGACTAACTTGCTGCTGGAAAATATTAGGTATAGGGAAGAATCAAACCTGTAATTATAAATTTACGAGCTCAGTATTTCAATATTTAAATTATTTATAAGTGAAATTTAAATAAATGTAAGTAATTTTTCTTCAAGCAAAATGATGAGGATAAAATTACATAATTCATTATGCTACCATTATTCTTTTGAGGATATCATTTGATAACCTATCTAAATATGTAAAACAGAATAAATCTTTACTCTAAACTATGCTCTCTGAAGGCAAAATAAAGACAAAATTTTTTTTTTTTTTTTGAGACAGAGTCTCGCTTTGTTGTCCAGGCTAGAGTGAGTGCCGTGGCGTCAGCCTAGCTCACAGCAACCTCAAACTCCTGGGCTCGAGTGATCCTTCTGCCTCAGCCTCCCGAGTAGCTGGGACTACAGGCATGTGCCACCATGCCCGGCTAATTTTTTTTATATATATATCAGTTGGCCAATTAATTTCTTTCTATTTATAGTAGAGACGGGGTCTCGCTCTTGCTCAGGCTGGTTTTGAACTCCTGACCTTGAGCAATCTGCCCGCCTCGGCCTCCCAAGAGCTAGGATTACAGGCGTGAGCCACAGCGCCCGGCCCCTAAAGACAAAATTTAATAATATTTTTTCTAAGCTGATTATTCATTTTAGTATTTTTGCATAATTTATTATTTTTAGATTAATTCTACAATCCTAAAATAATTGTAGCCTGCTAGATTGACAAATGGTTAATTTAAACACTCCGCCTAAAACCTCCAGAGTTTCTAATATTATCTGAGAAAATATACAGACATGTATTTTTCTATTAAAAACCAAAACTAAAAGCTGTATCTGTGCATAAACACAGAACACTAGGCTCTCTGTACATAAAGAAGAGGTTCCATTTGTATATGTGTACACGTGCATTTGTAAAACAAGTCAAAATCCAAAAATTAAAACATTTTAGTCATGAAATTTACATATTTTTGGCTTCAAAATAGCACAAATGGAGCCAATGATAAGATACACTGTCAATAAAATAAATTTTTTTTTATAAAAAGTCACTTAACAGTACAATTCAAAAATGCTTAGGTTAATGAGCTAGTTAAAAGTAAATCCAGATGAAGTATAATAATGGATTGTCTGTTATTAATATGCAATACATGTACCTCATTAGGAGTGTTGAGCATTTAATTTATGCAAAGCACTGGAAACACAGCCTAGCACACAACTTAAGCATCATATTTAGTAGTAGTCGACTTAGATGTCTTTAACAGCAATAGCATGAAACTTAAACAGCTCCAGAAATAATGGTACTCTCGACTGCCTTTTTAAACTTGTTTCTCACTTACTCTCGCATCCTTGTCTCCAACGAAACAAATAACACGGAGAGATGGGACCCATCGCTTAAATTCATTCATCCAGTTGTATAAAGTAGACTTTGGAACTAAAACCATGTGAGGTCCAGGAATGTTCCGGTAGTGTTTCAGATAACCAAGCAAAGCAATCGTTTGTAAAGTCTTACCAAGACCCTGCATTATCATCACAAGGGCAAAAAAAAAAAAAAAAATCTATGAACATTTTTTCTTTAATTAAACATTTTGTTAGTAACAACATGATAAAAGATATCTGCCAACTCTCTCACATAGACAATTACATTTCTGCCAATGAGAAGTAAAAAATATCATTTTTTAAAAATCATTTTTTAAATATCATTTTTTAAAATTCCAATTCAGTATTGCATTTACTGTGAGCCTAAAAAGAAACCAGGAACTTGACGTTAGAATGTTGCTTAACAAAGCAACTTTCTCTTTAGGACGTTTTTTACTTCTAAAGGAGCAAGTAACCTACTACATAATTTTCTCTACTAGTTGGAAAATCAGGATTTCTTTCTTTTTTTTTTTGCTAGAAATGGGGTCTCACTCTGTTGCCTAGGCTGGTCTCAAACTCCTTGCCTCAAGCTATCCTCCTGCCTCGGCCTCCCAAAGTGCTGGGATTACAGATGTGAGCCAGCACACCTGGTCAAAATTAGTCATTTTTTGTGTGTTTGTTTCACAAAGACATATTTCCTTTGCCAGCCTGCTTAGATACCAGCCTTTCCTGTTGCCCCCAACATTATTATAGCCCAGCATTAAATATTCAGAGTATGTGTCTCAAGGGGCTTATGGCTCTGTCTTAGATCTTGCACTCTTAAAGACCTTAGGAATCACAAAAGAACAGAAATTGGCAGCCAGAAAGAACCTTAGAAATCACCTAGTCCAGTGAACTTTAAAAAAAATATTAATAATATATTGAATACCCATGAACCCATTACCTAATCCATGGAAAAGGGAAATATGCCCTATATAGTTTGGCCTTCTAAAATAGCATTTGGCTTTATCTCTAAGCAAGGTACATACTTCCTTTTATAAACTAAAGCTTAAAGCTATTTTATAGGGCTTATCCTATCTGATATGTCACTAAATGAAATGGGTTTCATGGATGCTATGCATCAAAACCTTAAAATGTTTATACTCCCTAACCAAGTAATTTCACTCTTAGGAGAGGCACAGAAAAACCAAATTGCAAGATTCTCGTATGGCATTATTGATACTATACATCAAGAAGCAATCCAAATAAATAGCATTAAGAGAGAAATCTAATAAAACTATATAACTATGCCTCCCTAGGATTATGCAGCAATTAACAATTATCTTTCCATTTTAATTATGTGGAAAATATGTATGAATGTGAAGAAATCAGAATACCAAATTATATATACAATGATTCCAATAATGCAAAATAAATGCATCCAGAAGAAAAAGACTAAAGAGAAATATTTCTAAGTAGCAGAACTATAATTTAATTTTTTTCTTTATTTTTTTCCAAATTTTCTATACTCCTTAAAATGTCTTTCTCTTTTTTTGTAATTAAAACATAGCTGGTGTCAGCATAAATTCAACATTAAAGATCTTTAGATCCTTCATGTTTAGAAAGGCTGCAGCTAGGAGGTGCTTGGGGCAAATAATCCTGGTTCTTCTGTGGTCCAATTAATCAAGCTCCTCCCTCTGAGCTGACTATATTTCCCAAACCAGAACACACAAATATAAGGAGCTACAGACCCTTGATTTAAAGGATCTTCTACAACACACCTAACATTTGCTCATCCAGGGATGAGTATCTACGGGATTGACCATGAAATTAGATGTTATAGGGCACATATCATCATGTGGCTCTTCTGGATAATAGTTATTGCAAATACGGCTCCAGAGCCACATAAATATGATTATCATTGAGTTATATAGATCTAGAACTTCCCCTGCCCTCTCTTAAATCCAATTTTATTAATTTGGTCTTAAAATACAAATCTAGGCTTTCCTATAGTCCTCTATCTGCTTAATTAGCATCTTACATGGCCTTACTTTTTCCTCTTAGGTTATTTTATTTACATGCTCGTGATTCATTAGCTTATTTCCCAACACCCACCTGGCACTCTACTGTAGCAAGACTCAAGATTACTCTTTATTTGTTCCTTATTTTATTCCATCTATGCACTTTCTAATTGCTCACAAGTTGAGATAGCTACATTCATACATGCATGCATGCATGCGTTGTTTGGTTTATATACCCCACATCATTCCCAAAAGTATTGCAGATAATCTACAATGCAAACATGTTTCAGGTGGCCTACAATGAAAACATGGAACATAAATTAATAGTAAAACAGAAATAAATAGGTGCCAAGGAAAATAAGAAAGACTAGAAAGTAAAAAATAGGAAAAGACACAAAGGACACAAAGGGCAGACCATTAAAGGTCACACAGAGGCTTCACTCTGGTATTCAGCTTGGCTCCGTGATTTCAAAGTGCAAAAAACAAAAGTCAAAGAAGGTTTTTTGTACCATTTGAGGAAATGTCAGTAAGAATTTTGTGGCCTGTGAAAGTCTATGTTCTAAAGGTTACTTAGAAAAACAATTCTAAGACTACAAAATACTTTTACATTATAATAACTAAGTAAGCCTCCTAGCATCAGGGGGGCAAGTCAGCTCAGGAATTTCAAATTTACATAAAAACATGTTGATAACTAAGAATGTGTTTTTAACTACCAACTCCTCACCATTTCATCAGCCAAAATGCCATTGACTCCATTTTCATACAAAGAGATCAACCAGTTCAGTCCTCGAATCTGATAATCTCTCAGTGGTCCTCCTTTCACATCTGGAAAAAAAAATTAGGATGTCTCATACTTTTGTTAATCCATTCAAGTAAAAGTGTTTCGAAAACCGAATTGAAAAAGAAATCACCAATGAACTTACATGAAGGTGACACTTCAAACCTAATACACACATTGGATGTTTTCCGACTCTCCGACAGTAGCTCTTCATCTTCTTCTTGTTCTGTGCGCCTGTGGCGGTAGCTGAAATAAAAAAAGAAATGCCTTCATATTCAACTCAAATACCAAGATTTCAATTAAGTCAATGTACACTGCTAATATCTTTTACAGAAAAAGAATAAGTTATCTAGGGTCTTATTTAGAATTTGGCAGAACGAGGCAACATTTTTACTGACTGGCCTCTGGTGAGGAAAAAAACATTGTTCTCCCTGAAACGTAATTACAATGGCAATAACCTTATTTTTTCATAGAAAGTTATATTGAATAGGTGAAGAAAGGAGGAGGGACAGTCCAGAGGAAGGTAAGGGAGGAGAGAGGGAAGAAAGGAGAGAGAGAGATGCCAACATACTCTCCAGCAGAAAGTAAGCTCTGCTTCTCATCTTTCTTTATTCGAGGACGTCCCAATTTCATGTTCAGAGGAGATGTTGGAGATTTCTGTGCTGAGGGCTGAATGAAATGTGCAAAAAGTTCTGTCTGCTTCAGTAAAAATTCAAATCTCTTGGCTCGGTCTGCTTTCTAATTTACAAAACAAAAGAAAATGTAAGGATTTTCTTTTTTTTTTCGTTCATTCAAAGTTATTCAACACTCATGTTGTACTTACTTTGTATAATGTTCTAAACACTTTAAACATATTAACTCTCTTAAGAAATCTAAGAGGTAGTTATCCCATTTTACAGATGATAAAACTGAAGCACAGAGAAGGTAAGTAACTTGCCCAAGCTGCCACAAGTAGCAGAATTTGAAAATGATATTTTGAAAATAGAAGCCAAATGATCTGATAGACTTGGCAAATTCCCCAATAAGAAGTACCGTTCTTAAATAGAATCAAAAAGCAAATCCTCTTTCTAAAACACAATTTTATTTCCCTAAATAGCAAGAAAACTGAGCAGCACATATATAACATATCCCAAATATAGAAATATAAATTAACTATAATTCATTATAAATTAATTAACCATAAACTGAACTCTTAAGAATTTTCAAGCCTCATCTGGAAATAAATGAAATCTTAGAATACAGTGTCACCTTGTCCCAAAATATTTTTAATGTCATGATACAATAATGTAATAAACATTCCTCTCTTCAATTACAGTGATCTGGAAAATTGCATTTTATGCTAGCAGTATATAAAGTTTCTCCCCAAAGTAAGCAGAATTTGGGAAAAATATATACACAGAAACACAGATGCAAAATAGTTAATACAGTAACCATTGAAAGTTGAAATGTATTCCAATTTCTCAATAAACTATAAAAGGTCATATAACATATATTATATAAATGCAGTAAAACACTTTCACTAAAAAATCTTAAAAGATCAAAATATACATCATAATAAAGAAAAAAACAAAGACGATTTTTTTTTATTAGAAGTCATTTTCCAACCACGACCACGGAGTAGAGAATACTTGATTACTAATAAAGGCTACATAATTAATAACACCAGAAACTTACAGAAGAGTTCATTAACATAAACACAAGAGTTAGAGAAATACACTCAGACCACTAGCTGGAAGGAGGCCAAAAACTTTCCATTTAATGTTATCCTCACTGGAATGTTGTTTTTAGAGTTGTTAAAACATTAACTGTCTACATTAGATGTGACCTTAAACACTAAGGCATGGAGTCTTGTAAAATGGCTATCAACAACCAAAAAATGTATTTGATCAGTAATTATTTTTATAATATTGCTGCAAAAACAACCCCTCAGGGAGAAAAAAATCAGTTTCAACTACCTGTTAACTTCTTGAAAGACCCAAGGGTTTAAAAGTCTAGTTAAAATTAAAGCTAAAATACAGATTTTAGTGACTAAAAATTAAATAACAAAATGTATAACAAAGCAACATGTGGGTATAACTAAGATTATACTGCTTAAATATGTAATATTTTCATGCATTAGGCAAAGATCCTTCCCTTAAGAAAGTATATTATCATATTGCATGTTTCATGAATGTATAGCATTTATTCATATATCTAAAGCAAGATGGGGAGAGAAAAAGATATCATACTGGCTTTGTGACTGATTTTTTTCTCAGCTCACAAAGCCACATTAATATTGTAACTGATATTTTCAGTTAGTGGATAAAATGTTTCTAGCATAAAGCACCTTATTATGAGGTAAAGAGCACTGAACAAATGTGAGGAGATGTGACTTCTAGTCCCAACTATTCCATATGGTTTCCCTGATCCTTTATTTCCTCATCTGAAAATGGATTATTTACTCAACAAAAATCTATTGTCATTGATTATATATCAAATTACTTTCCAATTCTAAAATCTATGATTCTCTATTCATTATACATATACTTTTTCATCTTTCATATCCCATCTATAAAAATTAACTACAGCCTTCACTATCCTACCCAATAGAATATTTACCATTTTCTCTTCATATTCTGGGTCCATTTCCTTTTCAGATTTAGATGCTTTAGCAGCAAGTTTGAGTTGAAATGGAGAAATGTTTTTCTGGAATTTCAAAGAAAATAGATGTCATCAAATTGCAAAGCAAGATCTTTAAACTGGTCAATGTTCTCATTTGAAGAAAGTGAAAAATAAACAAATCAGTGTAGGACATGCATGGACCAATGATGAGAGCATGTCATGAAGCGGGGCTTATGATTAATCTAGATCTGTGCACCTGAGGTACAATTTTAAAAATCTGAAAAATCATAAAAACCAGAGAAATGACATTAATTAGAATAAAACCCAAAAGGTAAAACACTGAGCTTTTTCATCCATTTTTTAATTTAGAGCATTAGAAAATGTGTAACCATCAAATAAAGTGATTTAAAAATCTAGAATAGGCTAATATTACCAACCACAAACCAAAGAATTCAAGGAAAGTAAATATTAATTCTTAGAAACAATTCTTTATGTAATGGAAACAAGCCAAACTTTCAGAAGAAAAGACTGTGGTTTCTGTTCTTAAAATGGCACTTTTTCCTATTGTTTTCATAGTCTAATTAGAACATTTAAATTTTTTATGCAATGCAATGTGATCACATTTATTTAAAAGAATTTAATAGTATGGTTTCAAATTTTGGCTTATGTTAATTTTCTCTAACTGGAAAAAAACTATTTTAAACTATATCAGAAAAGTATTTTGTAGAATCAGTTTATCAGGGATATTAACTATTAATTGTTGATATTTTTAAAGTTTTAAATTAGTGAAAATTAACATCAATCAGTAACTTAATACTGAAATTATCTCTTGGGAAGGTTATCTCATATATCCTATCCTTTGTAAAGACAAGCTTGTATTTGTAGATATAAACAGATATATAAAATAAGGCTCCTTTTCTAAAAGAAATCAAATAAACTAGTAAGAACACAAATCTACCCATTAGGACAAAAGCATTTCAGTTTTAACACAGACTTTTCATAAGTTAAAACACAAATCTGTTCATGAAAACTAAAGAAGCTAGTCAATTTTATTCTGAACTTTGTCAACCTGTTTCTGAAACTGCGGTCAAAAATCAACAGAATGTAACCTTAAACATAAGAAAAACAAGGTTCTAATATGTCTTCCACCATTCACTAAAATTTCCATTTTAAGAGCATCCAAAATAAGACTATGAAATTTGACCCTGGTCAGAGTCTTACTTTGGAACACTGATCAGATACGATTCAGTTACTCTAATTTAAATAAGTACCATCTTGATTTACATCATCTCATATGTATACATCTAACATGGGATCTTTTTAAGGTAATCCTGGATGGATGGGAATAGAAAATTGCTAAAGATCCCCTCAAACCCACACTTTCAAACTGTCCTGTATACTATAAATCTTATTTTATTTTCAAAGCAACATGGAAAATTGGGTATCAAAATACACACCTTAATCATTCCTTGAAAGGGTATATGAAGTCTAGTTTTCAAGTTTCAAAACAGTGAAAATTACTTCACCTCATATACACAAGTACGTATCTAATAATGTGAGAAGTAAACTTCACTTACAAAAAAGTAAAGCTTTAATCTTAGAAAAACATTTTACTCATTACTTTTTTGCTTACCTTGTGGTAGAATACCATAAAGATTTAATTATATGCTAATTAAAATTCCTAATCTTGAGCACTGCTATAAAAAGCTGTGGGTGATTACTTAATTGGCACTATCTTCCACAACTAATTTTAAAATACCTACCTTCTAAACCTTCTCATTTGTGTTTGTGTGTGTATACATATGTTTTCAAAAATACATTTTTTCATACAAGACAAGACAAAAGGTGACTAAGATACTCTAATGAATTCCTATGGATTTTATTATCTGGTAGTCTCGAGGCCATGAGAATGCAGCACAAGGTCATCAAACTGCCTTGTCTAAAAGACCATGACCTTTTTCTCGACGTTTTCATTACCAAAAAAACCATCTCCAATTTCTACAGTTAGGTTATCCAACTGTCACTTAAAACCCAGTCAAGAACCAGAAGGTAAGCAAAAATACCTTAGAGTAGCTAAATGTCACAAGTCAATTCACTAAATCTCATCTACTTTATTCATCATGAAGGTGCTCTCATTCAGAAGACTATTTTCTTGTATTTGATATGCAATTCTGTCACGTTTGATTATCTGGATACCCATATCACAGAGACTAAAAGTAGCAGCAAATGACATGGGAAAGACCACTATATGAAGGCACACAACAGCAAAAAGAAATGGCAGAAACTCAGGGCTAAAATGTGTGTTCCACTGTAGTAGCATCCCTGATCCTTGGTAATCGGGTATAATTATTTCCCTCTCTCTGCTGTATCACTGACATTTTTGTATTTTACAGTTGTTTTTAAATGATTTTATGGTTTTGTTACATCTATGTCCTTTATCATAAACTAACAAATTATTTCCGCTGGAACTAAAGGAGGTGTTTAAAAAGTGATAAGCTAACAGCGTCGCAATTGAGGAAAAGTATTGAAAAAAATCAACACAATACTGGAAGAGTCTGGGAGGTAGTTACTTAATTGAGAGGAAACAACCTGCTGGATCTCAATTGCCTTTGTGTCACTGTCAGCGTACAATAGCTGATAGTCATGAGGAAAGGCTAAATTGCACTTTTAGTACGCCATGTAAAGACTCAAGGGTGTATGTATATATTTAGATTTTAAAGGAAAATTAAAAATAAAAAGATGTAGTGACTAAATTAGTAAACTTCAGATATCCAAGAAGTTCCCGCCATGGAGCACCTCACATCCCTATCCCGAGTGGACAAATGAATTACTGTTAGGGCACTTTCTGATGAGGTTACAAGGGTTCATGAATATTTGGGTATCAATTCAATGTTTATTATACAGGATTTTTCTTGGTCTCCAGATTTTTCACAATTCAAAAAATGTATGCAATCTGTAAATTCAACAACCTTTATTGCCATACAAAAGACAGCTTAGCACTTACATTTGCCCAGTCTAGGGGGCGAAAAAGGCACCTAGACACATTTCTTAATTTCCCAATATTTGATTTATATTGATACTTGGTATTTGGCCCAACTTTAATCATCAATATTGTCTTACTGATCCAAATACTGCAGAGATTTTAAAACATGTGTTTGTTATTTCACTTTGCACTACAATTGCCTGTTTAATTAACCTTGTAACAGTAAAATATGTCACTTGAGCAACTGAATTTAAAATTACTCTTTTAATTCAAGGCAAAAGGTGTTAATTTCCCTCAAAAGCTTTTCATAAGGTGGTATAGTATCATATAATGATTCAGACAAAGCCACTTGAGATCTCTAAAGCATAATTTTAATTACCCGCCTTTTCTAAATTGTGATGTTTATTAATAAACGGAAAAAATCCACGTATAAACGATCCATTCTGCAATTTTATTATACATCAAAAATCGTTATAACCCATGCCAATTTTTAATCCCAATTTTAGTTTTATGTGCATGTCTCCGTCCATATGAAATATGTCTTATGGAGATAATACATATTTTCTGGATTTGGCTTTAAGGTGCCAGAGAGGTCCCCCTTAGGTTAGCAGCAAGTCATCCCGGCACCGCCGAGTTTTAAAAAAATTAAAAAAAAAAAAAAACCTGCGCGTGTCCAGGAACCAGCAGCGCCCACTAGGAGAGGGAGGCGGAAGCCTGGAAGGCTTGGGGCCGGATTGAGGGACCATTTGGGTGGCCCTGGAGTGAAACCCTATACCGTCGGGGGCGGGGCAGGAGAGAGTGAGGGTGCAGACACTGGAAATTTTTCTAAACCAGCCTCCACAGTTCCTCAGTTTGGGATTTGGGTTTGGGGGGTACAACGCGGAGAGCTCGTTTTTCTCGGGGTGACATCCCGCCTCAGCAGGCGGGGTTCAAATGAACAAGGGATGATTTTTTTTTTCCCTGCCATCCAAAAGATTGACTCTGCCAATCAGAGAAATAAATGTCTTCCCTAACATACTCCACTCCCCAAGCGCTACTAACACCTTGAAATTCAAATTACAAAAATAAGCCCAGGCTAAAGCCCTTTAGTGCGAGTGTGGGATTGAAGGGCCCAGATTTCCCAGGCAGAGGCCGACGGGAAGGGGGGGGAGAAGGAGCGAGAGGAGAGGAGAGGGAGAGGCGGAGGCTTTTTCCTGCACGGCCCCATCCCCCACCCCATTACCCCAGTTCCGGGAAGGTGGAGGGGACCTGGGTCTGTCCAGGGGCTCCCAAGCCCCAGAGCCCTGGGATAACGGGCACCCCTTCACCCGGCGCCGCGCCCGCCCGCGCCCCAGCCCCGCCCCCGTCCTCCAGGCGGCAAGAAGGAAAGGGGGAGGGGAGCGAATGCCAGACTGCTCCGCCACCCCACCCCCCGCGCGCCGCGGCCCCCATCCCTGCAGAGCTCCGCGGGTACCTGTCGGCGCCGAAAGGTCAGGCTCTGGGCCCCTCAGAGGGGCCAGGCACAGGGTTTGTCCACCACACACAACACGCCCCCTTCCTATTTACCTCCTTCTTCTCGCCCTTCTCTGTGGCCGCGGTGGCTTCGGTGGCCGTGGTGGCCGTTCCCTCCTCCTTAGAGGTGGACGGCCCCGGCTCATCGTCCTCTATAACCACGATTGTGGCGGTCGCATCAGCCGCTGCCACGGTGGCTGCCACTGCAGCGGTGTCCAGCTCCATGGCGTTGGAGCGGGAACGAGGGGGACAAGAAAGGGGACGAGGGCTCCTGGGCGGCAGCAGTGGCTGCACTGGAAAGAGCTAGATGGAGCAGGGGTGGGGAATCTCTCCGCTTCCAAAACCTCCGCTCAGCACCCCCCTTCTTTAAATAACCCTCAACCCTGCCCCACTTCCGTCCACCCACCCTACGTCATGGCCTCCCCCCGTCACCCTCCCCCCTTCCTCCACCCCCCCTCAACGATCGCGAGACTCCCCCTCCCCACTCAGAGCACGGGCCGCCACGCACGACCAACTGTTGCCTGAGTGTGGGGCGCGGACAGGGGTGGAGGCGGGAACCCACAACCCGCAACCCGAAGCCGGGTAAAAACCTCCTTTCCCACACGCCCCCAACAGTGAGCCTGAACTCCCCTCGCAGATGTGTGCAGAAGGAATCCTCTTTCCCTTAAATCTGCTCTTTGTACCTCTGAGCGCTCTCCCCTTCTTGCACAAAGAACTTTTCCTCTGCTTGTAACTGTACTGTAGGTCTTTCTCACCATTTGCAAAACTCAGAACCTGTCTGGGGACTGCCCTTTCTCAGGTCCTTAAAAGAATCGGTCTGGTGGTGCTATTCTCACTTTCCTAAATTCTACAGGAAGAATTATCTTCAGCTGAGTCTCCTTGAAGCTCTTGATTGCAGCTGCAATCACTTACAAGGCAAAGTCTTACTGTTGGATTCTATGTATATTCGTTCTGTTTTCAACTCTGGTACCTCTCAGTTGGCCAGTGTGCAGAAGCCCTTCTTTTGCTTTCACCACTGAATTTTAAAACTCCTGGGGACAAGGTCAAGTTCCCTGACAGAACCTAGAGCAACACAAATAGGTACCCATTATTACTAATTGGGTTGAATTACTGTGATTTTTTTGGTACATGTTGTATTAGCACCCCTATTATTATTTGGCAGTAATTCAACATCAATAATATGCATGGTCGTGGATATAAAAGCATTTTGTGCCGTTTTATCAACATAGTCCATCACTGGACAAGTAAATAAAGAAAATGTGATATATATACACAGTGGAATGCTATTTGACCATAAAAAAGAAATGAAATCATGTCATTTGCAGCAACATAGATGGAACTGGAGGTTATTATGTTAAGTGAAATGAACTGGGCACAGAAAGACAAATATTAGTTGTTTTCACTCATATGTGGGAGCTAATAAAGTGGTTCTCATGGAGGTAGAGAGTAGAATGATAAATACTAAAGGCTGGGAAGGGGAGTGGGAGATAAAAAGAGGTTGGTTAATGGGTACAAACATACAGTTAGAAGGAATAAGTTCTAATGTTTGATGGTAAAGTAGGGTGATTGTAGTTAACAAACTGTAGTTAGAAGACAGGACTTGAGCTGTTTCCAACACATAGAAATGATAAATACACAAGGTGATGGATATCCTAAATACCCTGACTTCATCATTACACATTCTATGCATGCAACAGAATATCACATGTACCCCATAACTATATACAATATTATGCATCAATAAAGAAGCAGCATGCTTATATATGCCTTTAAACCTGCATATGTATAAGGACTGATGGAGACAGAAAAGAAACATGTTGGAATAACATGTTCTCAACCCTGGCTTACCAAGTTCTTTTTTTTCATTAAACACTTACATTCACTGAAATAAAATAGCACATAATGTACCTTTAAACAAGCATGCTTAGATTTGCCCAAAAAAAAGCATTTTGTAAAGGGTGCAACAATATGCAAAGGTAATTATTAAGTATTGTTGCTTCTATTTCTCCTCACCATTTATTTTGATCAATAATGGGAAGATCTACATCCTAGACTTTAAACTTCAGTCATTAGGGATAAGAGATAACAAAACATACAGAAAACATTATACCAAACAACAACCACAGAGCCTACAATTTCCAAAATGAAGCAAATACTTTCCAAATTGAAAAGAAGTTATGATTAGTTTCCCTAAGCATACTTTCCTAAAATACCAATCTGAAATGAGGTGTGATTTCTGCAAATAGCGCATGGGGGGCACATATATTTGCCCCCCCCAAAATATATCTCTTTTTGCCAGTGGTAGTACCCTAAATCCATTTTTGTTTTAAAGCTATGAATCCTTAACATGCAAAAACCTTGTGACCTTTTAGCTAGTATTAGTCATGTACATCTTAGTGTGAAGAAGTATGCATTCCTGTCCAGGGACTGGTTTTAACAGAGAAAAAAAAAAAAAAAAAAAACAAGACACTGGTGAGTGAAAGGGTGTGCCAATGAGAGAGGAAAGGAGAGGCTGGTGGGGCTATTTTTGTTCTAATTTTACTTTCATTATGCTCTTCTTATTTACCTTAGATTTTTCCCCTGGTGCCCATGTTTCTCATCCTCAAGTACACACATGTACTATCTAAAGGGTATGGGGAGTCTCAGTATAAAAATGGCTTGTTCCCTTCTGAGAACACAAGGATAAAATACATACATTTTAAAAATGGTTTGTATTTCTGGACCATTAACTTTAATAAAAAATGAGATGGAATGAAGTCACCTAAATGACCAATTGAAATACCATTTTTTTCTGTTAAAATATGTAGATATATTAAGAAATAAACTGCAGAATTTGAACTGTCTCCAAAGAGAAGCTTGAGACTTCCAGTAGAGATCCTACCCCTTTTCCACTACCTGTACCACCAATCTCCTCAGTTCATTCTTTGATAGGGAAGTTCAAGAAACACTGAAAGAGAAGGATACTGCTGTACATGGATCCATCTGACTTGAGAAGGATCCTCCCAGGCAGTGGAGGATTTCTTTTTCACTAAACTGCAGCTATGGGAAGAGAAAATTACACTTTTTTTTTTTTTTTGAAAATTCCACTTTTGCTTGGAGCTTCAAAGAAGAAAGGCTCGAGAAATATTTGTTGTGTATTGATGTGTTCCTGCTTGCAAGCGTACTTTGTTCTATTGTATTTGTCATTGCCAGTGTACATTATTTCAGTTATCTAATGGGTTAAATACACTTTTGTGAGGAAATCTGGGAAACTCACATTCCTTTATAACACCTTTTCTTTAGAAACATGTGTTCCATGTTCAAAAAAAAAACATACAAAATTGATTTGGGGGACAACATATTTGTACATTGACAATTTTCAATGTATATATAATGTGATCCTTCCTTTTCAAGATGACAAGGCTGAAAGCACTACCAAGTATATGAATTTGACTGGAAAAGTCAATGCTTGGTCAATAGACCTTGCCACAGGATTCATGTAAATACTGCCCTTTGGCTTGTGGCAATAGCTGCTGTTTACAAAGCATGTGCTATCCTTATTTGTCAATCTGCATAAACTTCATGATCTGTAGACTTTGTTCAACAAGAGTCACCTCATTTCTGAGCCTACTCAACACCTTGTTCTATCTGCTCCTGTCTACTACTACTTTCTCCTGTTCTTTCATTTGAAATGGTCTTTTATTACTTTACTCCATTCAGGTTGGGGAATAAAGCAAACTTTTATAAAGAACCTTGGGGCCGTATCTGGGAACCTCAAAATTAACTTCAGCCTACTAATCAATATGTACATTTTGGCAGATTATAGAGGTTGTCTAATAGTTGTTTTTGTATAGCTAAACTCATTTAGTAGCTACCGAAACACGTGCCCAATGGTGGTATTAAACACTTTTCTAAAGTTCATAATTGCAAGGCCACGGGCTTGGTGTTCCCTATCTTATCCTGTATCTGAAATTTGTTAAACTAAGGCGTAACTTAAAACCACATTGTGATCCCATTGATCAATGTTCTGCAGAAGCTAGTACAAAGGATTCTAGTCATAGCATCTTGCTTACAGTTACAGTAACAATTTGGTTCATATCAGCAAGCTTTCCCACTGTTTTTCTTGAAGACATTTATGATTGTTGCATTTTTAAAAATATGATATTTCCTTGGAGTTCTGTATGTTAAGGAAAATTTAATGGAAATAGCTAGTATATGTCTACCACTTCTTGAACAACCAATATTATATCAGTCTCTTTACATATGATAATGCTAATCCTCCTGATAATTCCATGAAATAAATATTATCTCTATTTTACAGATGAGAAAACAGAGACTTACAGAGGCTAAATAACCCATCTGAGGTTCCACAGCTACTAAGTGACAGAAGCCAGATTCAAATCCCAGACTATCTGGCTCCAAACCTCATTTTTCTACTTCATCCCTATTAAATTCTCTGTTCTTCACAGGGCTTCCTACTTGACAGTAGAAATCATCTTGACAAAATAAGTGAAAAATATTTCTGCCATCTGTCTCCATGGTGTTCCCTCTAAAGTAAATTCTCAGAACAGTAAATGGAAGTCAGGACAGTTAGTGCAAAGAGGGGGAAAACCTAACAGAAACAACTTAGGTGTCTGAGAAGAAGGGATTGGCAAAACCTTGTACAGTACATTCATAAATGGAATACTATGCAAGCATTATGAATGATTATGTAAATAGATATCTATTGACAAGGAAATATTCTCCTAACATATCACAGAGTGAAAAAGATAGGCAAAAAATGGAATGTTCCAATTTCCGCCCCCAAATCCCCCACTCTATTTATACAAATGTATTTCGACAAAGGACAAAGCCCGGAAGGGTCTACTGCAAATATTTACCAATAGTTACAGCAAGATAGTGGGATTATGGGTGTTTTCTTTCTGATTTTTGTTTTTCTGTTACTTCTAGTTTTCCTCAATGAAGATATTTCCTTATATAATAGATAAATACCATCTTAAAAGATGAATAAAAAAATATTGCTCAAAACTAGACAAGTTGGAACAATAACTGAAGGAGTATGAGCTAGTAGATAGGGTGAGTGAAAAAAAGAACAATTTTACACTGAAGAAACAATGCAGTAGCAATATGTAATGTAATAGAAGCAATATGATTATTATATTGTTTACTGATTATTACAATGATTATTTTACTGTTTACAATAATATCACCTGGTTGAAGAACTGTTTTCAACATTATTGTTTCAAGTTGTATATAAAAGGATTTTCCACTTTGAAATATCACGCAAAACCAACCTCTAGAAAAAAATATGAGATTTTTTAAAATGCTCCCAAGCATGAAATTCTACTCACCCACACATGCCCTAAAACATGAAACACATGTTAAATAATCTGAATTGGTTTTGCTAAAGGTACAATATTACCCATGGTGA